GCCCGAAGGAAAGAAGACACAGACTTCCCTAGGAGGCCTTGCACTCACAGGTCAGGACTAGTAGGAGATGGAGCTCAGTGAGTCATCCTTATATCTGGAGGCCAGCAGTAAAGAGGGGCCTCAGAAGGGAGGATTGTCCTCCCCCCCCCATAACAATGGAGATCTGGCCCAGCAGCCAATTAAAAGGGTCACCATGGCAATAAGAATCAGTCAGAGAATATCTGTGCCTGCTTTAAAGTGGGGGAAGGGGAGAGCCTCCTCCCACCACATCAAGTACCTCTAATGGGGTGCTATGCTGGAAATGTGTCTAGGAGTTTGGGGGTGTCATCTCATTGGAATTACAGTTACAATGGGCTGGGCAGAGGAGGTAGAGCTTATTTACACAAAACTACGAAATAGTCAAAGCCCACCTCTATTTTCCACATCTGTCTTGGGAAATTTTTTTTCTCCTCTCCACTCAAATTTCACCGGTGTCTTTATGCAGTCATCTCTGTAAGCCAGGATCCTCCTTCTCCCCAACCCCCAACTCTGCTTCTCCTTTTCCTCTCTAGACTTCAATCTCCTTCCCCCTAATTAGAATTTGTTTTCTTTGTCACTTAGGATCTCACAAATACTTTGCATGGAGAGGGGGATGGGGTGTGGTTTAAAAAGAAAGACTTTCTTATCCCTCCCCGCCCCCCCCCCAACATTTTTGGGACAATGCTTTAACCCAAAGGTTCTTAACCTGGGGTTCATAAATTGTGTGTGTGTACATATATATATATATATATATATATATATATATATATATATATATATATATATATATATATATATATATATATGTACCTCTATACATACATATATGTATGTATGTTTCAATAATTGGTTTCCTTCCTAATCCTATGTATTTCATTTTATACATTTAAAAACATTATGCTGAGGAGGAATCTCTAGGCTTTACCAAACTGCCAAAGGGGTCCATGAAGCAGCAGCTACATGGTACAGTGGATAGAGCAAGGGCCCTTGGAGTCAGGAGGACCTGAGTTCAAATCAGACCTCAGACACTTGACACTCACTAGCTGTGTGACCCTGGGCACAAAACAAACAAACAAAAAAAATCAAAGGGGTCTACGACATGCTGAAGATTAAGATACCTTGGTTAACCAAAACAACGAGCCTTTTGGTAGAATTTTAGGTATTACTGGGAGGGAAAAGGAAAGGCATTTTTAAACAGGAGAAGCAACAAAGTTTGGTAGAAAAAACATTGTATTTCAAGTCAAGATATATGGGCTCAAGGCCTAGCACCACTGTGTGTTTTGGAACAAGGCATTTAATCTCTGTGACCTATGGTTTTCTTATCTGTAATACGGGGATGACAATTTCTGCCCTCTTTAATTCCTAGGGCAGCAGGAAGATAACAAATGTGGAATAAAAGTGCTTTATAGGTTGTCAATGAGTTAGAGATTTTCCAAGGGCCTCAAATGCCATCAGTATAAACCTGGTTTGAAGGACTGGGAGCCTGGGGACCTCAGGCCATGAGCAGCTTGTACTGTCTGTGATGTACTTCTTTTTACGGCCAGTTGAAGATCCTAGGCTCTGTTCTTTCCTCCCACCGCTCCTGCGCCTATTAATATCAATGCTTAACAAAATGTGGCCCAGGACAATCCCCAAGCAGCCTGTTTGTAGGTTGGTTCCTGCCAGTGTCTTAGGTAACTTTCAATTGCCACCATCTGGGAGAGTAGGGGGGATTTCTTCTCTAAAGATAGCAAGTCGGGAATTAATAGTTTTCCCCCTTTCCATTCTCCCACAGAGCTCCTCCCCCTACCAAGTTCCACGCAAGTAGAGCTCATGAAAAATCAGCTGTTTAAAAGTCTACTCAGTGGGGTTGAAGGAGCAGGGAATCACAAGGAATAAACACAGGATCATGGAATGGTAGATTTGGCAGGCACTTCAGAGATTATCTAGTCCCACCTGCTCATTTTATGGAGGCCCATAGAGATGAAACGACTAGCCCAAGGTCATACAACCATATAGTGGTAAGAAAAGGACTAGACCCAGTTTTCTTTAGATCTCAGTCTAATGTTCTTTCTACTCTACTAAGCTGTCTCTTAATAGGTTAATTGCAAGTACAAGTCCTCATAAATCAGGTTTTGTTTTTGAGGCAAAGGGAGTTAAGTGACCTGCCCAGGGTCACACAGCTAGCTAGTAAGTGTCTGAGATCAGATTTGAACTCAGGTCCTCTTGACTCCAGGGCCAGTGCTCCATCCATTGTGCCACCTAGCTGCCCCCATAAATCAATTTGTTTATCATCCTCTAGACCCAATTCCTCATAGCTCACTGCTTGCAAAATGTAGACTTGTAGAATTTTGGAGTTAGGAAGGACCTTAGAGGTCATCCAGAACAAATTACCACCCAAAGCAGGAAGCTTCTCTGTAATGTTCCTGACAAATGACCACCCAGCCTTGGCTTGTAACGGTTCTAATAGTTGTTCTTTAAAAAGTTCTTCCTTATATTTGCACAAAATCTTCTTCACTGTAATTTCCCCCATTTCTCCTAGTTTTCCCTTGTGGTCATAGATAGATGGACAGATGGATAGACAGATGGCAGATGGCAAAACAGACAGATGATAGGTAAATAGAACATTTTTTAAGCACTTATTATACATCAGTCACTGTGCTAAGAGCTAGGGATACAAATACAAGCAAGTGGGATAGACTCTATGCTCAAAGAGCTTACATTCTACTGGGAAAAACATCACATCAAAGAAGCTGAAAAGTGGGAGAAGCTGCCAGAATTAGGGCAAAGTTGGGGGAGGGTGGAGAAGAGAAGCGAAAGTCAGGAGAATGAGGTGTGAATGAGGTGAAGTTTAGCTAGGAACCTTCTTTAAATAGTTGTCTGGGAAAAGGAATCGCCAATCAGAAGAAGCAGCGAGGCCTAGGGCAGAGGTTTCTCCAGTGTGGGAAGATTGCTGGTGAGGAATAGGAAGCAAAATCTTTGAAAGCAGTTGTCCTACTCCTCCTTAAATCTTCTCTTCTCTGGACTAACCATCTCCAGTTCCTTTAATAGGTTCTGACCTCCCTACCCTTCACTATATTGGGTGTCCTCCTCTGGGTAAGCTGTAGTTTGTCAACAACTCTCTTACAATCTTGTGTCCAGAACAAAACACAACAATCCACATGTGGCACAGGAGACATTGTAGTATACTGGATAGAATGCTGACAGGTGGTACAGTGTGGTGCGATGGAAAGAGCCCTGGATCAGAAGTACTAGATTCAAGTCTGGCCATGCTACTTACTATGTATATGACCTTGGGCAAATCACTTAACTGCTTTTGGCCTCAGTTTTCTCATCTGTAAAATGGGAGGATTGGATTAGATGGCCTATGACGTTCCTTCTAGATCTATGATTCCATGACCATATTGCCTCTTTTGTTCTGGACACTAACCTTTAAACAATGCTAAGAGTACCTGGTATCTTTAGCAGTGTCCTTATCTCTTGCATTACCTGCCTCATGAAATTCTTTTTTTTTTTTGGTGAGGCAACTGGAGTCAAGTGACTTGCCCAGAGTCACACAGCTAGTGAGTGTTATGTGTCTGAAGCTGGATTTGAACTCAGGTCCTCCTGACTCCAGGGCTGGTGCTCTATCCACTGTCCCACCTAGCTTCCCCTCCTCATGAAATTCTTGTGAGGAAAGAATGTTGTAAACTATATAGTGCCGTATAAATGTGAGTGATGATGATGATAATACATTATTGTTCTCACTGAGCTTGTAATCTACTAAGACCTGTAGGACCTTTTTCAAATAAACTGTTATCAAGCTAGTTCTTGACATCTCCTATACTTATGCAGTTGAATTTTGAGCTGAAATGAAGTGTATTTCACTTACGTTCCTAACAGTATGTCTTTTTTACCAACTGAAATTAAACAAGACTAAATTTAAAATGGCTCTGTGGATACAAATTTTAGCCCTAGCCAGCCCTAGCCCAGTTATTTGTTAGTCACAGGGGGACTAGCCAAGAGAATGTGGATGGCTCAACCACTCAGAAAGCAAATCAAATGTACGTGTCTTATTGATGGTGAAATGTCCTGGTCTAGAAGCTTCGACCACAACCAGTCCACAGCATTCTGCATATGGCTAGCTCCCCTTCAATGCCACTCTGTGTGCCATCATCCTGCTCTGATTGCAGATTCACTGTGGCAGAAACAATGAATATTGAGGGGCTAGAGCAGCTGCAATGAACCCATCACTCCATCACCACCTCCAGAGTCATGCTGTGTGTGACAAGGCAATCGTGATGTCGATACCCATTCAAGATATGTGAGTTGCCGAGGCATTGACACCATTCAGTAGCACCAATTTACAATTTTGTATTTTAATAAGTCTGCTGTTCATCTCCTTGCCTAAGGATTCAGTGGTTGCAGTGCAGAGTCCAGGAAACATCAGGATCCCAATTCAGTTCTGCTACTAACTAGCTGTATGACCTTAGGCAAGTCCCAGGGTTGTATGACTTTCTCTTCCTGAACCTCAGTTTCCTCCTCTATAAAATGAAGGGGTTGGACTAGACCAGGAGTTCTTAACCTTTTTTTGTGTGTTGTGGACATCTTTGGCAGTCTGGTGAAGTCTATAATCCATCCTTCTCAGAATAATGTTTTTAAATGCATAAAATAAAATACATGGGATTACAAAAGAAACCTATTATATTGAAATACAGTTCTCAAAATGATAATTTTAAGAAAATTATCACGTTCACAAACTCCAAGTTAAGGACCCTGGGACTAGATGATTCCAGAGAAGGGGGATGGAAAGGTCTTAGAGGCAAGACTTCACTTACTACAGAATTTTTCCAATAATCCAAGTTGAAAGGCACCTTCGTTGTAATTCTATTGTTATAGACACATTGTAATGGGAAGTGGGAGAGGTACAGGAAACAGTTTCCTGAAAATATTTGATTAAAAGAGGAAGGAGAATATGTCTAAATATCCTCTGGTGTAAAAAAACCAAAACAAAACAGAAAGCACTCAGCCCATTTATTTCCAAAAGGGAGAAAACAAAAACTTTGGCCATTGAACAAACACAGACTGAGTTGATTGCTACATTTTTCTTTTTTTGGGGTCATAAGGCCAGTTAATGATTAGGATAGCAGAAACAAATATCTGTGCCTGTTAGGGGCTGGCTTATTTGGCTCTTTCACTGAGTAGGAGTTCACTTCATACCCATGCCCAAGGAGACCTGCTTCACCATGGCCAGCAGTCTCAGCAGATGCTTCTGTTTCCTGGGAATGATGCTGTTATTCTTTTCTAAGGGTTCAGGTAAGGTGTTTTGGTTTGTTGTCATTGTTTTTCATCTTATTCTTACTGATATCTTTTGTTTATACATCAGATTGCTTTCCAAACACATTCCATCCTTCTCTCTACCCCACTGAGCTCTATCCTTTCCAACAAAGATTAAAAAGGAAAGAAGAAAAAATAGTTTAGCAAAAGCTACATGCCAGCCACATGTGACAAGTTAGGCAATATTCTACACACGCGGTCCCTCACCTTTCCAGAGAAGGGAGGCCAGGTAAGATTTTAACAGAGATGAGAGGGAGCAGGTACCTCTTGTTAAGTTTTGTCAAACAATGACTTTGGCTCTTAATATTATATTAATGTGTATTAACTTTGGGGTGTCCCTGAAAAGCCTTTTCCCCCCAGTCAGCCTGACTTTTTTTTTTAAGTCTAAAAGTCACATGAGTGACAGTAAAGATGGCACTTTCCCATTCTAGAAATAACAACTTCCCCAGGGCTTCTGACTCATTTTTAAAAAGTCAGTATTACTCAGATTCACAGACTAGCATTGGAAAGGACTGTGGAGGCCGTCTAAACTAAACTCTTGGCTTGACATAAAACTTTATTCAATCTACTTAGGATGGTGGGGTCATAGGTCTAGAGTTGGAAGGGACTACAGATCCCATTTAGTCCACCTCCCTTATTTTACAGATAATGGAACTGCGGCCCAGGGAAATTAAGTGACTTGCCTAAGATCACACATGTAATAAGTGGCATGGCCAGAGTTTTAACCTAATTCCTCTGATTCCACATCCAGAGCTCTTTCCATTGTACCACACTGCCTACCATTTGACAACTTCTCTCTTAGAGTCATCCCTTCCTTTCCATTCATTCTGCCACTACCAGTCCATTATCACCTGTGGTCTCTATAACACACACTGGACACTGTCTAACTGTCTCTCTCTCTCTCTCTCTCTCCCCTCTCTCTGTCTCTCTTTTCCCCTGTCTTTCTCTTATCTCTCTCCTTTCTCTCTATCTTTCTGTCTCTCTCCTGTCTCTCCCCTCTCTGTCTCTTTCTTTTCTCTGTCTCTGTCTCTCTCCTCTCTCTGTTTCTGTCTTTCTGTTTTTCTCTATGTGTTTCTCTGTCTCTCTGTCTCTACACACGCACATAAAATATTAACTATAGCTATGTATATAAATGTAACTATATGTAGTTATATGTAACTATATACATATGTATATAGTTAGAAAGCTACATACATACATATACAAATACATGTATATTGTTCTATACTCATTGTCTTATTTGAGCTTTACAACAAAACTATCAGGAAAGTAGCACAGATATTACTATTTCTATTTTATAGATAGGGAGACTGAAACCCTGAGTTAAGTGACTTATCCAAGGTCATAGAGATTGTAAGCAGCAAAGTGGGGACCCGCACCAGGATTTGGAACAATTGTCCTATTTGGTCTCTGTGGAGCAAGTCTCTCCACTCTGCAACCTCTGACATAGCTACAAAAGTGATTTTCCTAAAACTTTTCCAGCTTTATCATGCCTCAGTCTCCCTTTTTGTACTCTACAGTTCTCCCAATTTGCCCTTCTTGCCTTTTTTCTATTTCTTACCTTTGTATCTTTCCAGTGTCTGTAAATTATTCCAGGAATGCCCTCTCTCCTCACCTTACTGCTTAAATCTCTTGTTTCCTTTAAAGCTCATTTCAAGTGCCACCTTCTATGTGAAGCTTTCCTCGATTCGCTCAGCTCCATTTCATACCCTACATCCCCTTAAATTACCTACCATTTATTTTGCAGTTGTTGTGTACCCTGATGTAGTAAGGACTATTTGATTTTTTTGTCTTTGTATTTCCATTGTCTAGTTCATAGTAGACACAATAAATGCTTGTTGCTCATTAAAAAACTTTCTTATTCCTAATAACAAACAACCTTTCACGTTATGTTGCCATTCCTTTAAGCTGCCATCTTGTGGCTCTCTAACCTTTCTATGCCAAATTCCAAGAAAGAATTGGCTACACTTGTTACCTCTTCTTCCTCACCACCCACTCACTTCTCATCTCTTCTCAACCACTAATACTCTACTGAAACCACTTTATCAAAAGTTACCAGTGATCTTTTCACTGCAAAAACTAGTTCTTTTCTCAGTCCTCACCCTTCTTGACCTCTGTAGTTTTTGCTTGATGGCCATCTTATTCTCCTGGTTATTCTCTCCTCCCTCAGCTTCATGAAGAAAGCTATTTTCTCCTGGTTTTCTTCCTATCCATAAGGCCAGTCATGAATCTTTTTTTTTTTTAACTGATCATCATATCTCCCATCCCCCAAGCATGGGTATCTTCCAAGGATGCTCCAGGACCACTACTTTCTCTATACCATCTCCCTCAATGATCTCCTCTCACATGGGTTGAATTCTCATTTCTGCTAAGATTTCTCCAGATTTGTATATTCAGCCCAAATAGTTCATCAGATCTCCAGTTCTGCTTCACCAATTGCCCATCAGATGTGTCTATCTGACTGTTTATGTCAATCGCCTTCCCAATGAATCCTCCATCCAATTGCCAAAAAATCATATGTACTTCTGACCAGGTCACTTGCTGATAAAAACTCTTCTGGAGCTACCTATGACTCTAAAATAAAAGGCAGACTCCAGCATTTAAGGCCCTCATAATCTGGCTGCAATTTAGCTTTCCTGCCTCATTTTATCCTATTCCCCTACACAAATTCCTGTGAATTGTCATTCCTTCGGCTGTGTATATTTGCATAAGCTGTTTAGTTCCTGGAAGTACACTCCTTCATAATTTCTGACTGCATACTTATCTTCTGTAGAAATTCAACTCAGATTCCACGTCCTCCACGGAGCCTCCCTTGAAGATGTCTCTCCCTCCTGAATTTAGTTCATATTTGTTTTTTCTCTGTGATCTGCAACATCCTATTCTGGCCCCATCCTTGGCTCCATGTTTTTAAAGCCTGCATGGCTGAGGCCTCCAATACTGAAGCAGATATAACTCAGGCTAATGGGAGAATTGAATTCTCAATACCAGCTTCCCTGGCCTCCTTCAAAGCTCAGCTCAAATCCTGCCTTTTGAAAGAGGCCCCTCCCCACCTCCCACCTCTGCTGCTGCCTCCCCTCCAAGCTTACTCCCATCTACTCTGTATATTTCTTGCATGAATGTTGTTTGCATATCATTTCGCCGCACTAGAACATGGGCTCCCAGAGGGCAGGGATTGTGGTTTTGCCTTTCTTTGTATCACTAGAGTTGAGCACAGTGCCTGACACATAACAAGTACTTGATGAATGCTTATTGACCAACTGACTGTCACTTTCCATCATCAGATTTCAGCATAACAAAATGGGTATTATCAAGACCTTCTTTCTAATATTTCTATTCTCGACCAAGAATGGGAAATGAGGGCTGTCCCCAGATTTGAGGACTCGTATATTTTGTGTAGCACCCTAGCACTCAAGCTCCTCCTCAAGGTGTGCTCCACCTCACTCCACCCCCACCATGGGGGTGCTGCATGGGCATGTCAGTAAATAGGCGTGGGAAATAGAAACTACAAAGTCTCAAAGAATCCAAGCATGATCACTTTGGGAATGAGGTGGGCCTTTTAAAAAAATTCTTGGGGTGTGTGTGCCAAGGGGTATCAAAAATTTTGTCCCTATGTTGTGGTATGACAGGTCAAGAGGTTGTGACCCCTCAAAGACTGAAGTACACATTGAGTTGTCTGGAATGAATTCACAGACTCAAGCATTCTTTAAGTCAAGGTGGCAAAAAGTTTATTATTACGCTTTTCAGTGTACAAGGATTCTTAAGGGTCCTGCAATCTTTGAGTGGTACAATTAAAGTTAATATAGGATAAAATACAATAAAACATGTGCCAAATATGCTAACTAGAAGATTCAGGGTGGGATTAGGGAGTGGTTAAGGAGTGGTCAGTTCTTAAAGGAACATGCACTTCTTATACCTAATGCTCAGACGTTTTACCCAGAGTTCCCTAGGAAAAGTCCACAAGGGGGGCCACGTGGAGGTGTGGTTTTAGGCCCGCTATGTCACTAAGTTAACTAGAGTTCAGGGTAACTGAGATTTGTCCAGTCTGCCACCAATCAATGTCTTGTTTGACAAGATAGATGTAGGGAGTAGACATATGTCTTAAGTCTAGAATAGAGTTAATGAGGAGCCCAGGATGTAGATAATGAGGTAGGGCGGTAGTATAGATAGTCCAGTGGGTAAAAATGTCTGTATGACCCAGTGCAAAGCCAGTTCAAACTAATAATTCCCTCAGGTGCTGTTTGGAACTGCACCAGGGAAAAGAGATAAGGGTCTTGCTGGGGCGCACTCATGAGTAATTGCTAGGCACAGTATCCTTGGGCTGCGGAGAAACTGTCAGGGATAGTGTTTCTGAGGCTAGGGAGAAATTGGGGTCCAAGCACAAGCACCCAAACACCTGTAAGAATCTATTGGATCCATCAGGAGTTTGCTGGTAAATGTTTAACAACTCACTATCCAAAAAAAATATGTTCAGCACACTTTTAATACTTAATCTGCATAATTAACAATTTCTTCATTACTTTCTTAATTCTAGAAATCATTGATAAATCAAGCCCTGATTTGTAGCATTTATCAATTTCCAAGATATAAATGCTCACACTAAAAATTTAGCAATCAGCTTAAAAGCTGATTCAGCTAGCTCCAGCACACCTTTATATTTAATGACCCTTGGTCTTTGTGCCCCTAAACAAACTGCCACAGGCAGAGATGGTTGGAGATGAGAATTTAGTAACATTTTCCATTACTTTTTTTAAACATATGAGTTATTGATGTCTTTTGTCTTTATATCGCAGTCATTTCTGGAGAACACAACTCTTCACCCTACCCCCAACATACCAAGTCCTCCCTTGGGACAAAGAAAAAAAACTAAGCACAAACATGAGATCCCCTGACAGCACCTGACAATGTAGATAGTATTCTGCCCCAGCAGGAGCGGGGGGGACACTTCATTTTCTGTTCTCTGGAACATTTAGTGGTTTTTCTTTCTTTAAAAAAGAATAAGTTGTTAATGATTTATTTAGTATTTGGGCTAGTATGATACTTGAAGAAGTTGTCTTGCTGCACATGTAGAAGTTTTTTCATTATATAAAAATTTATAACAACTGGGCTATATGTGTATGTTTGTGTGTGTGTGTGTGTGTGTGTATGTTTTTCAAAATCAGGCTTTGTAGGAGGGTTATACATGGAAATATGCTACGGTGTTCTTTAAAGAGAGGAGCAAATGGGCTCAGCAAAGAATTATTTCATGGTACTTTATATCAAGGAATTAAAAATTCCTGTAATAAAATGGATATTATACAAAGATCCTTTGGGACAAAAGAACAATTGTAGCACATACAAGGCAGGCAGTGATATGTGTGTGTGTTGGGAAGGGGGGCTTACACCAGCTATTTCATGGTAGCACAAAACAAGTATTATGCAGCATTTAATATGCAAACAATAAATATGGGTTAAAAAGCATAAGGAACCACCTTACCATTTTTCATTTCTAACTTTAGAAGGAAACTTAGGGTGTGTTCATAACTTTTACAATTCTGATTTATAGTTATCTCTACATCACTAATCAGATGAGGGATTTGGCCTACTTGAAAAGCCCATCATACATGGCCCCTTGTTTATTGTCATGTTCTATGGACAATTGTTATTGTTCAGTCCTTTCAGTTATATCCACCTCTTCATGATCCCATTTGAGGTTTTCTTGGCAAAGATACTGGAGTGGTTTGCCATTCCCTTCTCCAGCTCATTTTACAGATGAGGAAACTGAGGCAAATAGGGATAAATGACTTGCCCAGGGTAGTATCCGAGGCCAGATTTGAACTCAGGAAGATGAGATCTTCCCAACTCCAGGCTTAGCAGTGGAGCAGAATGAGATGCACACTGTGGATTATTTTGCTTGACTATACTTATTTATTACAAGGGAAGGCTTTTTTGAGAACAGAAGAGAGACGTGATAGTGATGCCCCTCATCCCAAAAAAAGGAAAAGAAAGCAAAGAAAATTGCCCCAAAAAAGTTTTTAAAAAATAGGACACATAGAGTAGAGAAGGAAATTTAGAGGGAGACACAGATATGCAAGATAGCTTTGGAATTAATATGTTGAATTTATTTTATACTTTTAAAAACTATACTTCATATTCCTTTTTGCATAGAGAAATGTTTGTTTGTTGATAATGATCAAATTCCTACTACTTACAAATTTAAAAAGAGAATGTAAACCTCCAACATATAACCCTTTATTCTTTTCTTTGTCCCCTAAAGCGTGAATAAATAGCTTTTAAATTTCTTGGTTTTCTTCCACAGGTCATGAGCTTCCCCTCGTACACCAGAAATGTTCTGACTTTCAGAATGCCAATTTTCTACGGGGCACCAACCTCAATGTCCAATTCCTCCTCTTCACTCCTTTGGATCCTAGCTGTGGGAAGCTGGTAAGAGAAAGTAGTGATCTTCAAAATTTTGGATTCAACACCTCTCTGGAAACCAAGTTAATTATCCATGGATTTAGGTAAGAACAAAGAGGTCAACAGGAGCTCCCTAAAGAGCTCACCCTTAGATCCAAATTGTTACTTGGTAATAAGTAGTATTGTGCTCCATAGTACCATGAAAATACAATGGAGGGGCAGCTAGGTGGTGCAGTGGATAAAGCTCAGGCCTTGGAATCAGGAGGACCTGAGTTCAAATTCAGACTCAGACACATGACACTTACTAGCTGTGTGACCCTGGGCAAGTCATTTAACCCCATTGCCTCACCCCCCCAAAAAAAATTACAATGGGAAAAGGCTAGAGAGAAGGGGGAATGGACCAGTTGGCCACCTGTTCAGATACTCAAAATTTTAACAGTGCTTTGTATATACACACATACATATAATATTATCATTTCCTGAAAAACTACATATAATATAACCTTTCTGGACCTCAGTTTCCTCAATTATAAAATGGGGATGTTGGATTAGATAATCTCAAAGATTTCTTCCATCCAATCATCTGCCAAAGTAATTTCCCAAAGTGATTTTACAGGTCTGACTATGATACCATCACCACCACCTCCCTGTCCTCCAAACTCAGTAAACTTCAGTGTCTCTCTATTAACTCCAGGATCAAATGTAAACTCTTTTGTTAGGTTTTTAAAGTCCTTCATAATCCAGTTCCTTCCTACCATCCCAGTCTTCTTATACTTCCTTCCCTTCTCATCTTCACCTCTTACCCTTCCCGACTTACTTCAAGGCTCAGTTAAAAACCCACCTTCTGTAGACGGTGTTTCTTGACCCCAAGTTTCAACAGGCTCTCTGATAGTTATGTGTTCTGTGGGTCTTGTTCTCATTATTCTAGAAGAATATGATCCTCTTTAATGATGCTACAGCATAGTAGAAAAAGCATTGGACTAGAAACAAAGGCATTAAAGAGCTATAGAAATGCCAGTTGTAGTTATTAAAAGGATTACTATTATTATTATTACCTTACAGTCACCAAGCCTCCAGTCTAGTGATAACTTAATTCCCTGAAACTTTTACTGCACTTCTGCTAAGCTCAAGCAATGTTTATGGACCAATACAGGGTTATGTTGGTAAATGTTTAACAACCAGCCAATCCAAGAGAAAATATATGATCACATACTTATTAGAATTATTACTTGGGTGTAAATGCTTTCATGGAAAATTTAATAATTACCTCTCAGTTCGAGCTGTCTGCAGCACACCCCTGATTAGAACATAGATAATCATTGATAATTAGAGCTTGAAGGGACTATGGAGATCATCTAATCAAATTGCCTCATTTTATAGAGAAAGACACTAAAATGACCAAGCCTAGGTTATATGGCAGAATAATGGCAGAAGCAGAACTAGTTTTCCTGGCTCCACATTTAGTCCTTCTTTTGAGCTACGCAGAAGGATTAGAAGTTAGTTGTAGCTCCATTACTACTAGCTATATCACAACGAGGAAGTCACTTAACGTGTCCTGGAAAGTGTCCTGAAGAAGGTGACTGGGATGCTGAAGGGCTTTAAGATCATACTGTATAGTGATTGATGGAAGGACCTGGAGCTGCTCAGCCTGGAGAAGAAAAGCCTTAGAACACAAGATAGACATCTTCAAATGTTGGAAGGATTGTCCTGTGAAAGAAGGATTAGAATGGTCCCAGAGGGCAGAACTAAGTGCAATAGTTACAATGGCAGAGATGTAGAGTTAGTCTCAATATAAGGAAAAACATTCTAACAAAAAGTCCCTCAGGAATCCCAACCAGGTTCTGGCTGAGCTAGATGGCCTCTGAGCAGGGACATGCTCTTCCCCCCAAAACCACATGACGGCACTTTTCAGTTTAATTTGCATTGTTAGCATTTTCTCCATCACTTCCTGAGGTTTAGACAATCAGCAAAGCAATAAATCATGCCTTGATTTGTAGCATGTGCCAATTTCCAAGGTGTAAATGCTCACACTGAAAAGTTAATGAATTACTCAAGCTGGTAAGAGCTGGCTCAGATACAACTCTGCTCTGAGTTTGTGTCTCTGGGCCATGTTTTCTCATCTGTAAAATGGGGATAATAATTTTTGTCCCATCTAACATAGAAATATTGTCAGGATCAAGTAATATGATATGTATACAAACTCTTTTCTAATTATAATTTGCTATCAGTATTACTTCTGTATCATTTTTAGACAGTCAATCCATAAGCACTTGCTAAGTATCTACTATGTGTCAGCCGTTGTGCTGGGCATAAAAAGACAAAAATGAAACAGTCTCTGTCCTCAAGGAGCTTGCATTCTATTCAGAAAGATTACATGTACAACAGTAACAGCCACATTGTATGTTGACTGGCTTCAATAGACTCAGCTCTTCTCAGCAACGCAAGGATCTAAGACAACTCCAAAAGACTTGTGGTGGAAAATGCTATCCACGTCCAGAGAAAGAACTATGGAGTCTGAATGCAGACCGAAGCACACTGTTTGCTCGCCTTTTCTTTTGTTGTTTTGTTTTGTTTTTTCTTTCTCATGGTTCCTTCCATTAGTTTTAATTCTTTTTTACATCATGATTAATGTGAAAATATGCTTAATATAAATGTATAAGTAGAGCCTATATCAGATTGCACACCGTCTTGAGGAGGGGGAAGGACAGGGAGGAGGGGAATTTAAAACTCAAAATCTTATGGAAGTGAATGCTGAAATAAATAAATTAATTATATAAAAAAAGAATAAACATATATGCACTAAAAAAGATTATATGTACAGATAGAGATATATGCATATATATAATATTTGGAGGGGGAGAGGGGAAGGGAACTTGCATTTATTACTTGCCTACTCTGTGCCAGGCACTGTGCCATGCACTTTTACAAATTTCTCATTTGATCAAGACACTAGCAACTGGGGAAATCAGGAAAGGCTTCATGTACAAGGTAGGTCTTGAACTAAGTATAGAAATAAGCTACAGAACTCTAAGTGGTAGAGGGGAGGAGGGCGTGAGGAACAGTTAGTACGAAGTCGGAAGAGAGTACTTTGTGTGAACAGCAAGAAAGCCAACTGGGCTGGACAATAGAGTGTGTGAAGGGGAATAATGTATAAGGCTAGAAAGGGAGATTGGAGGCTGAAAAGGGTTTATTTGCTAGGTGAGGGATTATTGTTGTTTCAATTGTATCTCACTCTTTGTGACCCCATTTAGGGTTTTCATAGCAAAGATACTGGAGTGGGTTGCCATTCCTTTTTCCAGATCATTTTACAAATGAGGAAACTGAGGCAAACAGGGTTAAGTGCCCAGGGTCACACAGTTAGTAAGTGTCTAAGGTTGAATTTGAATTCAAATCTTCCACACTCCATTCCCTGTGCTCTATCCACTGTGCCACCTAGTTAGGTGGCACAGTGGATAGAGCATGGGGCCTGGACTCAGATAAGGGATGACTAAGAGAAATTCGCATCTTTATCAGCAGTAGAATACAAATTAATTCACCTGGCATTTGCACTGAGTCCCTCCTATGTAAAGACAGCTAGGTGGCACAGTAGACAGAGTGCTGGTCCTGGAGTCAGGAAGACTCTTCTTCATGAGTTCAAATCTTACCAAGTACTGCTATGCTCTATACTAACCTTCTATTCCTTAGTTTGAAGCGTTGTCATGCAATCAACCTTGTAATGGGTCCCAGCTTGGAAGGAAGGTGTTCCTTTTATTTCTTTTTACCACCTCCCATAGGGCATTAGGAACCAAGCCATCTTGGATCGATAAATTCATCCAGACTCTTCTGCGTGTGGCAGATGTGAACGTGATTGCAGTAGACTGGGTTTATGGATCCACGGGTGTTTATTACTCAGCTGTGGACAATGTGATAAAACTCGGTCTGGAAATCTCCCAATTCATCAGCAATCTACTGGTAAGACACAAATAGGATTGCTTGTGTATAGGGTGAGGTAGGGGCACATAGGGCAGGAATTGGGGGTGTTAACACTTTAGATGATGAAGCCTTCCTAGTGTTTGGCTGCAGTGTTTTATCTCCAAGGGTATGGACTAGCTGAAGAAGTACTTGCGATCTGTGTGGTATTAGTGAGGCCTGACTTGTCTTGGTCAGCTCATTCTAGATATCCTCTTCCAGGTGCTTGGTGTGTCAGAGTCATCTATCCACATCATTGGGGTCAGCCTTGGAGCACATGTTGGGGGAATGGTAGGATATTTCTATAAAGGCCAGCTGGGAAGGATAACAGGTAATGTTGTCTTGGCTTTGGGTCATTTGCTTGATGTTTAGAAAAATCCCATTAGACTGTGAGCTCCTTGAAAATAGGGACTGTCTTTTACCTTTTTTTGCATTCCCAGTGCTTAGCACGGAGCCTGACACATAGTAGGTGTTTAATAAATTCTTGTTGCCTGACTGACAGTACTAACAGCCCTGAATATGGCTGAGGTAAGGAGAAGAGATTATAATAACATATTGCAGATTTTCAGCTAATAATCCCTTTTGAAACAATGTTATTGTATTATATAACAATATAAACCAATATGGCTTGGTAGATTAGAGGGCTGGCCCGGGAGTCTGGAAGACCTGGTGACCCTGGGCAAATTATTTGACCTCTTGATGCCTCTGGCAACTTTCTAAGATTTTGAGTTGCAGAGAAGGTGTTGATCTATGTTGGTAGAGGAGTTTTTCATTGGGAGCTTCCCACACTGATGAAATAATAGTGCTGGTAAAAAAAAATACACACACAAATACATATATACATATATATATATATATATATATATATGTATATATATATATATATATATATGTATCTACACATAGCATGTATATGTCTGTATATTTTTATTATATATACACATATATATATGTAGGATAGATGTATGCATATCTGTATATAAATATTATCATGTGAAAAACTGCAGTTGTTATCAGGATCACTAATTTAGAACTGTAGGGAACCTCAGAGGCCGTCAGTCTAAGACTTTCATTTTAGATCCAAGAAAACTAAGGCCCAGGGAGTCCTACTGACTTGCTTAAGATCACACAGGTAGTAGTGAGGCTTGAAGCCAATATCTTTGACTGCAGAGCCAGTGTTCTGTCCCATAACACCAAATGTAGTCACTAGTATCATTTCATCAGTCTTTGTGGTCTAGGAGCACTTCATAGGAAGAACCCAGGATTTGGAGTCAGAGAGCCTGCATTAGAATCATGGCTCTGAAACATTTGACCTGTGTAACCTGGGCCATTTAATTATACAAACATTTATTAAGTGCCTACTACGTGCAAGGCAAGGCAGCTAGGTGGCCCAAAGGAAAGAGCCCTGGGCTTGGAAGCAGAAAGACTCATCTTCCTGAGTTCAAATCTGGCCTCTGATCCTGGGCAAGTCACTTAACCCTGTTTGCCTCAGTTTCCTCATCTGCAAACTGAGCTGGAGAAGGAAATGGCAAACCACTCCAGTATCTTTGTCATGAGAACCCTAAATGAGATCAAAGAGAGTTGGACATGACTGAACAACAACTTGACGATAACAAAATGCGCAAGATACAGCTAGGGATACAAAATTTTTTTTTAATGACCTAGTTCTTGCCTTCAAAACACTTACATTCTGTAGTCAAGTTCCTTAAATTCTTTAGGCCTCAGTTTACTTTTTAGTGAAATAATGGGTTAGGCTACATCTCTGAGTCCCTTTTAGCTCAAAATCCTATAGAGAGAGCTGAACGTGTATTCAGAAGATCTAGGTTTGAGTTCTTGGCACTCACTAGCAAGCTTTATCACAGCCTCTCTGAATTTCAGTTTCTTTATCTATAAAATGGAAAGATTAGTGCTTAATACTCTATATTCCAGGGCTATTATGAGGAAAATGCTTTGCAAACCTTAAAGGATTACATAAAATATGATAGTATTGTTATTAAGTGGTAGTTTAAGTCATTCTAATTTTACAGATACAGAGAAACAGGAGCCAACAAGAGTCCTAAATTAATTTTAATAAAAAGGGGAAGGGGGGAGTATCTGAAGTAAATTTAATTCTAAACTAGTTCTCTCCCAAACAATAATTAGCTGTTTTTCAATAGGCTCTGAGGACTTCTTTGGGGTGGGGTCCAATGGGACATTTCTTCAGGGTGGGGTGAAAAGGGAAGGAAGCATCTCCAGGACAGTGCTATTGATCCCCTTTAAATCTTCAGCCCTAGGTAGTGCCCTAGTTTCCTCAACCTGGTTATAGTTATCTTCTTGGCTATCCTCACTGAGTCTTCATCGGCATCTGCTACAATCTCCAAGAAAGCAACATTCAATTTCTTGGACCCAACATGCATAGCTCTAAAAGCTACAACAATCATAGTTTCCAGATGGCCTTCCACTTGTGGCAGGGGAAGGTGTTTCTGAAATCAGTGCTTTCATTTGCAGGCCTGGATCCTGCAGGTCCAGAGTACACCAAAGCCAGCCTGGAAGAACGACTGGATCCTGGGGATGCTTTATTTGTGGAGGCCATTCACACAGACACAGACAGTAAGTTGTGGACTCTTTCCTTCTTCTGGTCTCAGGTATGTATAGTGGGGGGCAAACCCAGAAGAAGCAAGCACTGGCCATGACTTTGCTACTAACTAGGTCCGTGACCTAGGGCAAGCCACTTGACCTCCACGGGTCTCAGTTTCCTCACTTGTTAAATGGAAGGGAGGGACAGGGTTGGACCAGATGATCTCTAAGGTGCCTTCCAGCTTTAAAATCCTCTAGTGACTGAAGCTAGTGCTTTTATTTTTAGCTCTCAGTGGGAAGGAATATTCTCAGTCACAGACTAGAAATGTTTCCTTGTAATTCTTGCTCTCTGACTCAGGCCCAAACCCTGTTTTGCTATTTGTAAGTGGGAGGGAAAAGGAGAGAGAGCAGGCATAGCAAGTTTAGAAAGTCACTGCTTTTTCTCTTTTCATGGATTCTGTGGTTTGGGGGATTCCATCAACACATCAGCCTCCTGTGTCCCAAGACACTCACTGAAAGAACGAGTTCAGGCCTTGATTCCAGTGAAGAGAGTGGTGATTTGTATCCTCCGTAGGGAATTGCTTAGAGGCAGCACGCTATAGTGGAGCGAGGGCTAGCCTTGGAATCCTGCCTCTGATACATACTGGATGTATGACCCTGGGCAAGTCACTTAACCTCTGCGTACCCCAGACAACTCTCTAAGACGGTCATGTACAGATATGTTGCCCATCGGGATCATTGGAGCATGTTTCCAAGCTGAAGTCCTGGTGAAATCATAGGTTTGGGATTGGGGAAAAATGATCGGCTGTCATAGTACCACCATGGATCTAAGCACTAAATAAATCAGATCTGTACTGGTAGGGAACAAAATGTGGGAGCATTATTCCTTATTTCCATTCCCATCCCTGATCCCAAAAGATGGGAGTTTGAATTTCTTTCTCTTCTGATGAAAAAATAATAACTCTTGATACCAGAGAATATTAGAACTGGGAAGGTCTTTAGAGATCAACCACTCCCATGCCACCATTTTATATATAAAGGAATTGATCCCAACCCAAGCCCCTCTATTTTGCCAAGTGGACAAGCCCTTCTTTCCCTAAATTTAGTAAATAGGTGATTTATCAACTACTCACTTATTTCATCAAGGGCTTTCATCTCCCAGGCCCATATTTCATAGCTCAACTCCATTCCAGAAGAATTTGTTAAGTGCTACTAGGTACAAGGTACTGGAGAATACAAAGACAAAAATAACGGATTTTTTTTCCTCAAAGAGTTAACATTCTGTTGGATATTAACTGGTATCTTTTCCTGGGGTATGTGAAAGAAGTCACTGCCAGGATACCACACCAGAGAGCAAAGGATGCAAAGGTCTTGGCAGCAATAATGATTATTACTCTGAAGGCTCTTACTATTCTAGGCCCTTTTCATCCACTTCTTTCAATTGCTCTGAATGCAGGCAGAAGGGCATTGGAGAAGAATCTCTGCTTTGCTGTTTATATCTTTTTTTCAAGAAAAAAATTTTTTTATTCCAAAACTTCTCTTACCCTTCCTCTCTAGGAGGAGGAATAAGGGAGTGAAGACAAAAATAATTTCCAGTTCTATACATCAAAATACAAGGAGTGGGGGTAACCTCTCCAACTCTGACCAATATAATAGGTGCTAAATGTGTGACCAGTTAAAATGAATCTCATGACAGCACCTAAGCCTCCACTCCTCAGTTAGGCTAGGCAGTAAACAATAGGAGTCTCCAGGCAAAAGGCATTGCTAGGGCAGCTCTCCAGGAAGTGGGTAGAGGGGCATCCATGGGGCACATCAAGACAGGCCTCCAGGGAAACCACCCTCTTGACTTTGATCCATACTCCCCACCCTTCTTGGTAATGGAGAATCATTAGATGTCGAGCTAGAAGGGATTAACTTTGGGCAAAACATCTCCCCTATGTAATCTCAAGTTTCCTTAGCTGTAAATTTAGGAGATTGGACTAGATAATCTCTGAGGTGTCTAAGCTCTAAATGAAGTTCCTTCCAGTGCCAAATCATGTGCTGATGCCAGTGTGAACATTGAAATGTAGACTGTTGACAAAAATTATACTACAGTGGAAAAAGTGCTGAATTTGGAGTCAGGAGATATGACTTTAAGTTCTAGCTCTGCCTTTGTAACTTCATGTGAGTCACAACTTCTGGGAGCTTAGTTTCCTCATCTGTAAATTTGGGAGTCAGAGATAAGTTGGCCCCTTCTACCTGTAAATGATTTGATGAAACGATGTGGAAATCTACTCCGGTTGTCTCTCTGTGTGGAAATCACCCACAAGTGTGCAACTGATCCAAAAACATCTCATTGAAAAATCAGAAAAGGAATAGGAAATAATAGTCAAGGAAAGCAGCTTTTAACAGCATGTCTTTTGCTTCATCTAGTCATGGAGATATCTGCTAGTATGCTGGTAAATGTTTGACTGGCTATCTAGAAAAAAAGTATGGTCAACATATTTTTAAAATTAATCCGCACTGTTAACATTTTCTCCAACACTTTTTAAAAAATAAATTTTTATTGATATCTTCTGTTTCTTATCATCATAATTATCCCAAGTATCCCTCCCAGAGATTCATCCCATATAACAAATAGTATTTTTTTTAGAGGGAAGAAAATCAGCACAACTGATTAATACATTGGAAAAAGTCTGAAAACATGTGCACTGTGTAACAACTGTGGACCCTGCACCTCCATGAAGGGATGGTTTGGAGGGGTGTTCTCTTATATCTCTTCAATTGACTCCTGTTTGATTCTTATAATTTTGTTGCATGTACTTTTGGGTTTTTTGGTGTTTTTTTTAATCTACATTGTAGTCATTGTGTATATTGTTTTCTTGACTGCTTAATCAATGCATCAGTTCATGCAAATCTTTCCATGCTTCTCTGTATTCATCACACACATCAATGCTTACGACACAGTAATATTCCATTATGTTCATGTACCACAATTTGTTTTGCCATTCCCCAGTCAATGGGCATCTACTTTGTTTCCTATTCATTTGCTATGGTTGTTGCTCAGTTGTTTCCAACTCTTTATGACCCCTTCTAGGGGTTTTCTTGGTAAAGATAATGTAATAGCATTGCCATTTCTTTCTTTAGCTTATTTTATAGATGAGGAAACTGAGGCAAACAAGGTTCAGTGACTTGGCTGGGGTCACACAAATAGTAAGTGTCTGAGACCAGATTTGAACTTAGGAAGAGGAGTCCTCCTTACTCCAGGCCCTAAGCTTTATCCACTGTGTACCTAGCTGCCCCTTCTAATTCTTAACTATCCCAAAAAGTGCTGCTAAAAATATTTTGGTGTGTATAAGAACTTTCTTTTTATCAATGTAGTCATAGATTCTCTGGTTCAAAGGGTATGGACTTTTAAAATCACTTTATTTGAATAATTCTAAATTGCTTTCCAAAATGGTCACACCATTTCATAGCTTCACCAAAAATGAATTACTGCAGTGATTATTCCACAACCCTTCCAACATTGACTATTGTCATTTTTTGGGTCATTTTTTGCCAGTTTATGTGGCGAAAACTTTGGGTTATTTTTATTTACATTCCTCTTACTACTAGTGATTTAGAGCATTCTTTCATGTGATTGTGAATTCTTTGCAATTCTTCTTTGGAGAACTGTTTGTTCATATCCTATTGGAGAACAGCTATTAGTCTTCTATATATTTATTAATTGTTCATATATCTTAGATACCAAACCCTTATGAGAGAAATTTAATTCAAAGATTTTTTTTTCTTTTTCAACAACTTCCCTTCTCATCCTAGCTGACTCAATATTGACTGTGCAGAAGCTTTTCAGTTTTAAATAATCAGTTATTTCTTTTATCTTTTGTAATTGCCTGTATCTCTTGTTTGGTTAAGTATATATTTCCTGCTCATAGCTGTGAGAAGTATAAATCTGTTTTTCTTTGAACTTTTTAATAGTATGATCTTTAATATCAAGGTTGTGTATCCATTTAGAATGTATTGTGGAATATGGTGTGAAGTGTTGAGCTAAGCCTAATTTCTGACAGACTGACTTCTAATTTTCCCAGAAGTTTTTATCAGATAAGGAGTTTTTCCCTAGGTATTTTATGTTTTCCATTTTACCAAACACTAGTCTATTGAGTTCTGAGTTGTCTAGTCAATTCCATTGATCTGTCTCTTTTTTCCTTAACTAATACCAGATGGTTTTGATGATTGCTATAAAATGGGCAACTAGCTGGTGTAGTGGATAGAGCACCGGACCTGGAGTCAGGAAAATCTGAGTTAAAATTTGGCCTCAAACACTTATCACCTCTGTGATCCAGGGCGAGTCATTTAACCCCTATTTGCCTCAGTTTTTTTCATCTGTAAAATAAGGACACAGTGGAAAAAGAAATGGCAAACCACTCCAGTATCTTCACATAGAGTTGGATATAACTGGACAACAACAAGCTTTATAAAATAGTTTGAGGTCAGAAAGTGCTATTCTTCTTTCATTTCTACTCTTTTTTCATCATTTCCTCTGATATTCTAGATCTTTTGTTTTTCCAAATGAATTTTGTTATCATTTTATAAAATTCTATAAAGTCCTTTGATGTTTTGATTGGTGTAGCATTAAAAATGTAATTTAACTGTGGTATTACTGTCATTTTTATTATATTGGCATAGCCTAGTCATAAACATTCTTCCAGCTATTTAAGTTTTTCTTTATTTCTTTATTGAGCACTTTGCAATTGAATTTATACAATTCTTTCATGTGCTTTGATAGGTTGATCCCCAGAGATTTTACGCATTATGTTATTTGGAATGGGATTTCACTTTCTATTATTTTTTCTTTGGTTTTATTATTATTAGATAGAAAAGGCATGATTTTTGAGGGTTTATTTTGTAGCCTGAAACTTTACTGAGGCTATCAATGGTCTCAATTAGTATCTTTGTTGATTTCCAAGGATTTTCCAAGAAAACCATGATATCATCAGCAAATGGGATAGTTTTATCTCCTCTTTACCTATTTTTATGTCTTGATTTCTTTCTTTTCTTATTGCTGTTGCTAGAATTTCTGGAACTGTATTGAACAATAGTGGGGAGAATGGACATCCTTGCTTCACTTCCACATTTGCTACAAAAGGTTCTAGCACATCCCCATTGTGTATGATGCTTACTTTTAGCTTTATGATTTTTGTGATATTAAAAAAGATTCCTCTACATTTATACTTTGTAGGGTTTAGGGAATAAAAGGATCAATTTTAAAAAATTGATCTAAGATCAATAAATAATAAATAAAATCAATAAATAAATCTAAGAAATGTGTATATTCTTTTACTGTCTTATTTAGAAGATGCTAGAAGTCTTTTAATTCTAGTTTCTCTAGGAATTTGTTCAGTTCCATATTTCCCATTTTATTTATCTTTCTTTTAAACTCATCCAAAACAGAGAGAGGAATATTAAAATCATCTGTCCTTATTGTGCTACTGTCTATGTCTTCTTGTAACTCAAATAACATTTTCTTTATAAATTTGGACCCGAAGGCATTTGAGGCATATAAGTTTATTACTGATACTGGTTTGTTGCCTGGGGTTCATTTCAGCAAAATGTCATTTTCTCCCTTTCTATTTTTTGAATTTTTGTTTTTGCTTTGTCAGATAGCGTGATGGTAAATCCTGTTTTTTTGGATTCACTTGATTCATAGTAATTTTTTTCCATTCCCTCAGTTTCATTTTGTATATGTCTTTATTTTTTAAATATGTGTTTTGTAAACAACAAATTGTAACCTTTTTTTCCTTATCCAATTCGTCATTCTTTTTCATTTTATTGGGTTGTTCAATCCATTCACATTTAAAGTTATGAGAGGTTTATATTTTCCTCCATCTGTCTATAATATTTTTTAAAGTTATGATTTTTCCCTCCTCCCCTTCAGACACTGTATTATGTTCCCTCCATTATTTTGCCTTAATCTTTTTTAAGGAGAACTCTATTTCTACTGACTCTCTTCCTCTCATTCCTGATCTTCTCTTCTCATTCATTTCCCCTCTCCCTTTGGAATCTTTCTTAGTTCCTCTTTCTCTCTTACTTTTATCTGATTATATTAGTTCTTCTTTTCTTTTTTCTCCCTCAACTAGATAAGTAGATTTTTCCTCTCTCCTTTTCTTTTTTCTATCCCTTTCCAAAAGGATTTTTTCACTCTCTTCACTATCTTCTCCTGTCTGCTCTAACCTTCATCCTCTGACTCATGACCCCTGTAATTATCTGGCTCTCTCTTTTCTCTGTATTCCTAATGCAGTCAAAATTTCCAAAGTAACCATTCTGAGTTCTCCCCTTTGGGCAGTTTGTGCCACTGCCTTTTAGAGTTTGTCTTATGTATCCTCCGTTTCCACTGGACTTCACTCCCAGAACAATGTCAGTTATTTCAGGTGTCAAGGAGGACACTTCCCAATAGCAGGGCTCTTCCTGAACCATGTCGCTGATTATGCAGCCCACCCTTATCTATACCTTTTCCTTGTTTCCTTTCTTTCCCCATTTTCCTTAGTCTCCTCCCTGGGTCCATGCTCTCCCACTCTGGGGCTAATTGCCCCTAGGAATTCCAACTTCCCTCTTCCTGAGGTAGGACAAATAGACTTTTCAAGCACAAATTCCTGAGGCCATGTCCAGCATAAGGTCTCCCCATCTACCTTCACAGACCTTTTCTCTTCACTTATAGAAGCATTCATCAGTGGTCACCACTGCCAAAGCAAGGTCTCCTTCCTTTCCCTCACTTTTTTAATGCTTCCCTCTTCCTCTTCCCACTCCCTTGTAAACTCTTGTCTTTCTGAAACACTGAAGGTCACCTTCCCCACATTGTTAGCCCTATATTTGTTCCTCTCTGTTCCTCTGCTCACTTCTCCCCATTTCATGTACCCTCCCATGTTGTTATGTATTCCCACCAAAAAAACCCCCTCCAAAACTGATTCACTGGTAGATAGCATGTTGCCAGGTTTCTGTCCATAAAGCTTTAGGCCTATGTCTTCACTGTTACCTCCACGGGACTTATGCTTTCATCTTTGTCTCCTTGTGTACATACTGGTCTCTCTGCCATTACTTTGTTGATGCTGCTGTCCTTGGCTGCTATATTTATTGATTCCTCTTACATCTCTGTTTGGGGTGTTTCAGAAGCAATTAATATCTTCAGTTCCAATTTTCTTTTGAAAAATGTTTCAAAACCTCTTTATTATTTAACATCCATCTTTTTTTCATGTGTGGTTAAACTCAGATTTTCAGGATAGGTCATCCTGAGCTGAATCTTGAGCTCCATTTTTCTTCAGAACGCATTATTCCATTCCCGCCTATATTTTATGGTGAGTACAAAATAGTCTTGTGTAATTCAAATCTCCTTTCCTTCGTGTTAAAGGTCTTTTTCCTGATGGCTTGTAGAACTTGTGGTTTGTGAATTGAATTGTTAAATTTTTTTGTGGAAATAATCTGTGAATTCTTTCAATTGATATTTTATTTTCTATGTTCAGAAGTTCTAGGTAATTCTCCTCTATTGTTTCCTACATTATGGTGTTAAGGTTTTTGTTGTTGTGGGGGGGGGTTCTGTCATATTCTTTTGAGAGACTGTGTTCCTTAGGTTGTAACTGCACATCCCATCTTTGATATAATTATGTTTTGCTTGCATAGTGAGCATATTTTCTTTTAATGCTATTGTTTTTTGCTTCTCTTCTTCTAGATTGTCCTTTACTTTTGCTTATTGTCATTCCCAATCTATTATTTTCTCTTTTGTTTCTTTAGTGAGATTTGCCATTGCAGATTCCAGTTTTTCTACTTTGTTCATTATTTTTGATGTGTAGGACATAATTGCTGCTCTTGAAGTGCTCAGAAACAGTGTGTTGTGACTCCATAGGATCTTCTGTCTTATCAAGTATTGGATCATTTTCCTTTGTTTTGCAGTATTTATTTATAGATGCCTAAAACATATTTATTAGATCTGGAGGACATGTTTCCTTTTGTTTTCCCTGTTGATTTTTCTGTTTATGTTCAAAGTCTTTAAGTTTTCTTCCTGAAATCTTTGGTCATTTCCCCTTTATTTTTCCTTATCACTCATTTCTGACTCCCTCCCCTTTGAGGGTGATTTCTTTGGTGGCTGGATGTCAAAACATCTCAGACTTTTTCCTTATTGGACAATTCACAATTACCAATGTAGGTCTCTGCCCAAAATGACTTTTGGTTGTCAGAACCATCCCCAGCTGGATGCTGTGCTTTTCCCCATAGTCTTACTGGAGGTCTACATATCATCTTCTTACACAGAGTGTCTGGTCTTTGTATCCTCTCATGCTTCATCTTGGTAGTTCAGAGAGCTGTTATACTGGTGGTACTCTGGAATTATACACTTCCACAGTGGCAATTCAGAGCTTTGCAGTGCAGGTGCTGTGGGGTTGTGTCCCCCAGCATGATTTTCACTCCTGAAGGACTGCTGTCTGTGACACTGGCTTTCTATCATTGCCTGAGCAAACTTCTGTAACTGGACCAAAGTTATCAATAACACTGGAAAGAGGGAGAGAAGACTGGGGTGTAGGGTTCAGTTTTACTCCAAGCCCAGACCCTTGTGTCAGATCTTTGGGTTTGATAGTGCAGCCCTGATACCCATCACTGTAGCATGGGAGGTAGGGAAGGTATTTTGAGTAAGCTCAGGAACAGTAAGTTTCTCTTCATGTTTTTCTTTACCTTTTTTTTGAATTCTAGGTGTCCTAGGCCACGAAGACAGCTGAAGTTACTTTATTTTTGGTGCATAATTTCTGTTTTGTAAAAGTTTGAGAGAACATGGGGGATAAGAGAAAATGTCTAGTCTTCCATATTGTTCCTCATGTGACTTCTCTATCATTTCCTTAAGTCTAGGTAATTAGCAAAACAATACATCAAGCCTTGATTTGTAGCATTTGCCAGTTCCTGAAGTGTAAAAGCTCACACTGAAAATTTACCAACTTGCTATCATGAGCTAGTTCTGGCACACCTCAGGGAATATACATATTTTTTAAATTTACAAAAAGTTGAAGTCTTTCAAAGTATGCAACTCTGTTATCTGTTCATAGATCCAGAGCTAGAAGGGCCGTCTTCTCCAAACTGCTCATTTTATAGATGAGGAAATAAAGGGTGACTTGTCCAACTTCATCTAGGTTAGAGGCAGGATTGGGACCCAGGTGTTCTGTCTCTAGAACCAATGTCTCATATGTAACCTGCCCTATATACTTTCAAGTCTGTCAATAGGCTCAGTTAAAGTTTGTTTTCCCTAACTCTCAGGGAAAATGGAAGCTCCTTTGGGGCCCAGAGAAAGAGGCTAATAGATTTTTGACTTCTTTCAGATTTGGGTATCCGGATTCCAGTAGGACATGTGGACTACTTTGTCAATGGAGGCCAAGACCAGCCGGGATGTCCCTCATTTATTCATGCAGGTACATTGGCATCTAACATCATAGATTAAGAACAAGGAGGAATGTCAGGGGCTATCAAGTCCAGCCCCCCATTTTACAGATGATGAAACTGAGGTCCAGGGAGGTGAAACAATTTGCCCAAAGTCACACAAGTGGTGAGAATCAGAGGTGGGATTTGAAGCTGGGTCTCCTGATGCCAAAGCCAGTGCTCTTTCAACTATCAGACAGCTACAGAAAGGAGGTCCTCATACTTGCTCTCTCTTTTTAAAGTTTTTTTTGCTTTTTTTGGTGAGGCAATTGGGGTTAAGTGACTTGCTCAGGGTCACCACAGCTAATAAGTATCAAATGTCTGAGGCCAGATTTGAAATCAGGTCCTCCTGACTCCAAGGCTGGAGCTCTATCCACTGTATCACCTAGCCACCTCTTACTTTGTCTTAACTCAGGAAAGAACTGACAAGTAGTGTTGACCTCTGGAATGTGCTCCTGTATATCACAAAGGCTGATGACTACAATTTCCTTTGAAATTGTCTAATATACTTAAGGACGATATTTTTAAAAGAATGTTTTTATTTTATTTTTTCTCAATTACATGTAAAATAACTTTTAACATTTGTTTTTTATAATTTTTGAGTTCCAGATTCATTGCCTCTCTACCCTCCCTTCTCCTTGAGAAGGCAAGCATTTTGATATAGATTATGCATTTCCATATTAGCCATGTTGCATAAAGAGAACACAGACCTGAAAAGGGGCGGGGGGGGGAATAAAGAAAGTAAAAAAAAAAAGATTCAGTCTGCATTTAGACTCCATCAGCTCTTTTTCTGGAGGTGGATAGCATTTTGCAGGAATTGTCTTATATCATCGTATTGCTGAGAATAGCTAAGTCATTCACAGTTATTCATCATACAATATTACTGTTAGTATGTACAATGATCTCCTATTCTACTCATTTCACTCTGAATCAGTTCCTGTAAGTCTTCCCAGGTTTTTCTGAAATCGTCATGCTCATCATTTCTTATAGCACAACAGTATTCCATCACAGTCCTGTACCACAACTTGTTCAGCCATTCCCCAATTGATGTGCATTCCTTCAACATCCAATTCTTTGCCACTGCAAAAAGAGCTGCTGTAAATATTTTTGTACATATAGGACCTTTTTCTTTTCCTTTGATCTTTTTGGGATACAGACCTAGTAGTAGTCTTGCTGGATCAAAGAATATGCACAGTTTTATAGCCCTTTGGACATCATATGGGATGATATTTTGAACATGGAAGAATATAGGGGATGTTGAACAGATGCCTGGTACTGGGTAGCAGGACTAAAGCTAGGTGTTTTTGAGCCTGCGCTACAACCCAGAGTGCCCACCCCAGTTTTTAAGAACTTCAACCACTCTTTACCGAATCACCTAAGCCAGCAACATCTCTCTCCCCTAGTGCCCTGATTTCTGGCTAAGCTGTGCTTATAATACCCTCTACAAAGCTGAGTAGGATGGCTTCTCAGTTGCCTGACAGCTGGGTTGTGGGGGGTGGGGAAGTGAGAAAGATTTGTGTGGATGACTAAGGTGAAAATAAAAATGTGCTCTGTGGGAGACTTGAGGACATTTTTGCAGGGTGACAAACAGTCATTTTAAGAAAGTGGCATAGAATTTCCAACGAAATGAGCAGACAGCTGCTCTCCCCTTAGCTCTTTCTCCAAGAAGTGGAAAAGTCCAGAAAGCCCAGTTTGAGATCATTTTATCACCTTGCATTTTTTTTTCTGACTCCGACCTTTTTATTTTTTTTTAATTTTTTTTTTTCCGTATGCTTTTGAGTTGAAAATTTTTTCTCCCTTTTTCTCCCCCCCACCCCAGACGGCGCACAATCTGACATGGGCTTTACATTTACATGCCCATTAAACATATTTTCACATTAGTGAAGTTGTAAGTAAAAATTAAAACCAATAGGAGGAACCATCAGAAAGATGAAACAAAACTCCACAGAAGGTAAAAATAAGTGAGAGCGATTCGACTTCTTTCTTTGGATGTGGACAGCATTTTCCATCCCGAGTCCTCTGGAGATGTCTTAGATCCTCGTAATGCTGAGAAGGGTTCAGTTTAACATTCTTAGTCATTGCATAATGTGGCTGCTATTGTATACAAAGTCCTCTTGGTTCTGCTCACTTCACTCAGCATCAGACCATATAAGTCTTCCCAGGTTTTTCTGAAGTCAGCCTGTTCATCATTTCTTATAGAACAATAGTATTCCATTACATTCATATACCACAACTTGCTCAGCCATTCCCCAATTGATGGGCATCCTCTCAATTTCCAATTCTTTGCCACCACAAAAAGAGCTGCTATGAATATTTTTGTACATGTGGGTTATCACCTTGCATTTTAAGGGCACAAATACTGAAGAAAACCAGAAAAGGAGGTTCACGACCCACTTCGTTGCCCTATTCTAATGGCTCTATAGGATAGCATTCCCTGCTTTGGGGACAGTTATTAAGAACCCGTAGCCATGAATATGATACAATTATTTTTTCGGGGGGGAGGCGGTGCAGTCTAGACCTCTGATTTCATTGGCATATTGGTGAAAAGAATCCCACTCACATGGGGAAATTCCTTTTGCTGACACAAATCAGCAAACTATTTGTAAGGAATAGTGTTAGAGAGTTGCCTGAGACAAAGAAGTAAAGTACTCATTATGTATTTACATGAATAGGATATATCAGAAGCAAAGGAAGCAGCTAGGTGGCTCAGTGGATAGGGCACTGGGCCTGGCATCAGGAAGATCTGAGTTCAAATCCAGTCTTAGATACTTACATCACCCTGATCAAGTCATTTAACCTCTTTCTTAATCCATTGGAGAAGGAAAAGGAAAACCACTCCAGTAACCTTGCCAAAGGGCAACTAGGTGACAAAGTGGATAAAGTGCTGGGCATGAAGTCAGGAAGACTCATCTTCCTGTTCAAATCTAGACTCAGACACTTCCTAGCTGTGTGGTCCTGGGCAAATCACTTAGCCCTGTTTGCCTCAATTTTCTCATCTGTAAAATGACCTGAAAAAGGGAATGGCAAACCATTCCAGTATCTCTGCCAAGAAAACCCCAAATGGGGTCATGAAGAATTAGACACGGCTAAATAATAACCTCACCTCTTCATGCCTACCTTTTAACCCCTCAGCTAGCAGGGCCTTAGTTCTCCCTAGGTAGAATAGAGGAAGAAGAATGTCATATAGGCCATTTGTATGGCATAGTGAAAAAAATCATTGGATTTGGAGTTACCAAACCAGGGTTTGCTTTTGGGCAAATATTCTAGACTCATCAGGCCTGAGTTTCACCATTTGTAAAGTTAGAGTGGTTGGAGAAGATGATCTCCAAACACTCCCACTCTAGCATCCTTCGATTATCTGAGAGGTTATACAAATCAGGAGTTGAGAGTGAGTGTCTCATTTTCACTCTCCATGACAGGTTCTCCTAGGGTTTACCACATTTGCTCTTTCGGCGAATGAGAGGCAACTTGACCTAGGGGTTAAGAGGCTGGCTCCCAAATGAGTGTGACCTGGGTTCGCTTCCAACACTCACTAGACCACTCAACCTCTCAGTGTCCCAGGCGCCTCTAAAATTGTAAATGACTGAGAAGGTGCCTATGCATATTGGTAGAAGGAGTTTGTCACTCTGAGTTCCCAATGGAAATCCATTCTCCCCCTCCTCCCACACCCCCCAGAATGCAATGAACTACAGGGTAGGAAACCAATAGTTGGCCTTTAGAAACTTCAACTGCATTAGCCAGCTAGGTGACCAAGTCAATAGAGAACCGGCCTGGAGTCAGGAAGACCTACTGCATTTTACTGCGTAATGGTTGCCACCGCATAATCTTCCCACCCTCTCTTTTCCAGTCCAAAAATTGGTTTATAGCTTTTCATTGCATAATGGTCTAATTCTGTTCATCATGCCACTTAAAAGATAAACAGAGCTACAACGTATTTACCAGTGGCATATGAATATGTATTTATCTCTTTCTCACATTGCAAGCCACGAGCCTACAATTATCAGCCCACGTGAATTGTCAGTGTGTTCCCAAAAGTTGACTTTCGTGGTTTGTTTAGAGCTCTGCAATACTAACAGTATTGTCACTCAACCCAATGAAGAGCTATAGGAGCAAGGGGAGCCAGTGGTGAAGCTGCCATGAGTAAGTCACCTGATATAAGATTGCATCTTCTCAATTTTAACATGTATCCACGAGTATTCTGTGCATCTTAATCTTGCACCAAAGACAGTTTAGTAATAAATGATTTTTAAGTAATACTGGCACAATTTTACAGCTTCACATAATGGTCAGACCCCACTTTTTTGCAAAAACAAATTGGTATAAAATCTGCAACTATTATGCCATGAAATAAGGTCAGTTCAAATCCTGCCTCAGGCACTTACTAGCTTTATGACCCTGGGCAAGTCTCTTAACCTCTGTCTGCCTCAGTTTCCTCAATTGTAAAATGGAGATAATAACAGCACCTACTTCACAAAAAGGTTGTTGTGAGGATCTAATGAGACAATTTGTCAAGTTCTTAGCACAGTGCCTGGCACAAAGTAGGCACTATATAAATGTTTATTCCCTCCCTTCTTTCCCTTGGCGAATCTCTCTCTGAATAGTGTTTGTTTTTGTGTTCTGAAGAATAGGCTACTCTATTGTGTAGGGATTTGGCTCAGATTAAGCATTATGGGGGAAGAGGGGTGTGTGGGGTGGGATGGCCCAGTGGTACAAGGAAATCAAATCCAGTGCAGTCCCTATTGCTTAACATTCAAAGTAATGTTTCGGTAGGGAAAGTCCCGAATACTTATAGTTTGCCAATTGAGAGGTGAAGGATAGTTACCGGCAGTTGGTGGAGAGGGGGAATTTCCATCTGCCTTCATCTGTTACCTCATTTTTATATTTCTGTTCAGGTTACAACTATCTGATTTGTGACCACATGAGAGCTGTTCATCTCTACCTCAGTGCCTTGGAGGATACCTGTCCACTGATGGCCTTCCCTTGCGCCAGCTTCAAGGATTTCCTTTTAGGCCGTTGTCTGGATTGCGCTGACCCTTTTCAGCATTCTTGTCCCAGAATCGGTAAAGTTTTCATCTCTTCTGGGGCCAGTTCAAAGGCTAGGCACTGCCCCAACTTTAAGTCCTGATTCCTTGTGGCCAAGAACAATTTTTTCCCTAAGGGAAAACAGGAAAAAGTTGATGAAATTTTAAACTAATTCTAATTTGTAGAGTTGTATTCTGTGTTCAGCTCCCTACTATCCTCTGATTCATTGATTCATTTGTTTACTTGTTCATTTATTCTACAACCACTGTATGAAAGATGCTAGACCCAGATAACAACCAGGAATAGCACTTTCACTCAAAAGACTGTTGGATTTGAAATCAGACAATCTGGGTTTAAATCCCAGCCCTTATGCTTATATGCTTTGTGACTTTGGGCATGTCATTTAACTTCTTTTAGTTTTAGGAAGTTTTGTTATCTGTAAAATAAGGTGATCGACTAAGTCTGAGGTGTCAAACTCCCTTGAAGTCAGAACCAGATTAAAATGTAATTGAGAGATGTCTAACAAAATGTTGTTGTTCAGTCATTGCACTCATGTTGGATTCTTTCTGACCCCATTTGGGGTTTTCTTGGCAAAGATACTAGAGTGTTTTACCATTTCCTTCCCAGCTCATTTTATAGATGAGGCAACTGAGGGTGACAGGGTTAAATGACTTGCCCACCGTCACACAGCTAGTGAGTGCCTAAAGCTGGATTTGAACTCAAGTCTTCCTGATTCCAAGCCCTGCCCTCTATCCACTGTGCCACCTAGCCATCCAAAATAAATAAATGTAACAATGTAAATAAATACACTACAACATAGGTAATGTTAACTTGTGATTTTCTAAGTGCAGCCTGCATGGATCCCTTTCTATTTGAGTTTGACACCTCTGTACTAGAAGACCTCTGAGATCTCTTCCAGCTCTAATTCTTTTGATCTCATTTGAGTCTCATAACAGGTAGGTGAGATAACAACTCATTTCTATGGCACTTTAAGCTTTAGGAAATATTTCTTTATATAGTGAAGGATTCCCACTCCCTACCCCAGCCTAGCTGATGCAATCACTAGGTGTTACACTGGATAGAGTGCTGGACCTAGAGTCAGGAAGACCTGAATTCAAATTCAGCCTCAGACACTTATTGGCTAGGCAAGTCACTTAACCTTTCCCTGTTTCCTCAACTGAAAAATGGGGATAATAACAGCACCTAGCTCCCAAGGTTGTTTCAGGGTAAAATGACAAGATTTATAAAGCAATTTTTGAGCCATAAAGTGCTACATAAATGCTAGCTATTGTTGTCATTAAAGGAGTAGATAACAGAGAAAAGGAGATGTTAATATAGTAAAGAAAATGTGAAGATGTGTCTTCTATGCCCTTTGCAAAGGGTGAAGAAGTTTCCCAGATGGAATTATAGAAGTAGCTTGCCATTGGCTGGCCAAAGATTGGCCCTTAAAAGCTTGCTAGTCCTCCAGAAGGTCAAGGAAGTAAAAACGGCTTTGTGAAGTGAGATTCCTGACCTCCTACCAGAAAGGAGAGGGTATTTTTGTCTCCATTTTCCCCTCTTGGACATAGTGTCTTGTAGCAGAACTACTTGCTCAGTAGGAAATGCCATATCTAGTAGGGAAGGAGAAAAAGTCAAGAGACAAGTGGAGGAAGCTCTTAAAGGAATGTGAGCCCTGGCAGAAGAGAAGAGAGCTAACTAGCCATTCAAGAAAGAATGAGCTCTTCAAGTCAGAAGTTGAACTATAAACAAGAGAAGGCTCAGGGAGCCAGGGAGGGTTGAGATACCCAGGAGGGAGCAACATGAGGATACCAAGAGAAAAAAAAAGTATATTGAGGCTCTGCAGGGTTAAGAAGATGAGTTAGCTGCCATGACCATATGTGTTCTCTACGTGTATACTTCACTACCAGCATACTCTCTATATAAACCCAATCTTCCCACTGATGCTTTTTGAGAAAGAATGTCTCAAGGTAATTTGGGGGGGAGTGTATCTTAGTAGCTATTGTTCTTACTAGTCATCTTAGTAAATGTCTTTTCTTTAAGTTAATTGTATTTGCTGATTTACTTAAAGTTAAGTACACTGGTGGGAGTTGGTGAGCTATAGTTTTAGGAGTATGAATCCACTTTGAACCCCGGATAGCAGCAGTCAGCCCCCTGGGGACAGAATTCAACCTGCAGATGCAATTGGGAAAAGGCACTACATTTAAAACAACCCTGTGAGTTAGGTACTACAGGAATTATAACCCTCATTTGGTAAATAAGGAAACTGAAGCTAAACAAGGTAAAGTGGCTTGCCCAAATTCACCTAGAAAAGAGCCCTGGATTTGAGTCCCGGGATTCTAGCCAAGTCCAATCCTCTTTTCCTTCTACCATGTTGCCTCTCATTATTTCCTTTTTTCTCCTTCCCTCACACATACTATACACACATACACATGCGCGTGCACACACACACACACACACACACACACACACAATACTCTTTGAGACAAAGTGGACTTGGAGTTAGGAAGGTGTGGGCTCAAATCCTGACTTTAAAAATTACTAGTTTTAAGATCATGGCCAACCTCCCAGGGCCTCAGTTTCCTCATATGGAAAAAGGATATTGAGTAGAAGGGTAACCCAGTTAGACCTGCATGTTAGGAAAAAGCACTTGGCATCTGAGTGGATGGCAGATTGGAGCATGGAGAGATTTGGGGCAAGGAGTTGCATTAGGAGGCTGTTGCAATAATCCAGGCAAGAGATGATAAAAGCCTGAACTAGGGTAGTCACTGTGTGAGTAGAGAGAAGAAGGGAGGGTATTCCAGGCATAGGAGACAGCCAATGCAAAGACACAGAGGTAGGCAGTAGAACTTTGTATGTGAGAAACAGTGAGTATGTCTAAATTGGAGAGTACACGGAAGGGAACATTAAGTAAGAACATAGAAGGAACTAAGCCATGAAGAACTTTAAAAGCCAAAGAGTTTGTATTTGATTCTAGAAATAATAGAGGATCATTAGAATTTATTGAGAAGAGGAGCAACATAGTCAGACTGGTACTTTAGGAAAAGCACTTTGACATCTGAGTAGAGGATGGATTGGAGTGGGGAGAGATTTGAGGCAAGGAGTTGCATTAGAAGGCTAATTCCAGGCAAAAGGTGATGAAAAGGCCTGAAGTGGTGGTGATTCTGTGAGTGGAGAGAAGAGGTTATATTCTAGAGATGCTGTGGAAAAGAAACTATGCAATTTGGCAACTGACTGTTTATATGAGGCGGGTGAGAGTGATGAGTCAAAGATGACAATGAGGTTGTGAACCTGGGCATCTGGAAAGATGGTGCTTTCTCAATGGTGAAAGGAAAGCTCAGAAGAGGGGTGGGTTTTGGGGAAGGGAAACAATGAATTCTATTTTGGACATGTTGGATTTGAGATGTCTAAATGACATTCAGTTCAAAATGTCTAATAGGCAATTGGCAATGTTGGACTGGAGCTCAGGAGAGAGACTAGGGCTGTATATTTAGATATGGGAATCATCTGTATAGACATGAAAATTGAACCCAGGAGGATTAGTGAAAGACTATAGAAAAAAAATAAGAGAAGGTCCAAGACAGAGCAAGGGGGGAATACCTACAATTTGTATATGTGACACAAATGAAGATGCATCAAAGTAGACTGAAAAGGAAGGGTCAGACAAGTAACAGGAGAATCAAGAAGTAGTGTCACCAAAACCGCAAGGGGGAAGAATATCTAGGAGGTGATCAACAATCTTAAATGCTACGCAGAGGTCTGAGAAATGAGAAAGGGTCATTACATTTGACAATGAAAAGATCATTGGTAACTTTGGAAGGAGCAGTTTTATTTGAGTGATAAAGTCAGAAACCAGATCGCAAGAGGGTTTAGAACTGAGAGGACAGGAAAGTAAAAGTTAGCAGAGAAGAGTAGACATAGGAGAAGAGTGAGCAGGAATCATCAGATCAAGTGAGGGTTTTTAAGGAGGGTGTAGACTTCAGGGTATTTGTAGATAGTTAGGAAAGGAGTCAGATGATAGGAAGAGATTAAAAATGAGAGACAGACAGAAAGAGAGACAAACAGACACACAGACACACGCACACATGCACAGAGACAGAGAGACAGAGAGAATGATAGTAGAAACAATCTGCTGTAGAAGACAGGAAGGATAGGATCAAAGGTTGGCCTTACCCAAAAGGGTGACCTCTTCATCCAAGAATGGAGTGGAGAAGATAGTGGAGGGATGATGTTAGAGGGATATAAACTAACAAGTGGAAAAGAGGGAGTTTACCCCCAATTTGCCTGAATTTTTTCTGTTAAGTATGAGACAAAAGCCTTACCTGAGAGAATGGGTGAGGGGGTTCCATGGGAGGCTGAAGGAGAGAAGAAAAGATTTGAAACAGTCACTATGGTGAGTTGAATAGAGAACCAATTAGGAAGGAATAGGATTGTCTTACCAAAGTGAGGGTCCAGCAAAGATTGGGTAAAATAGATTTGTAGTGCACCCAGTCAGCATATTTTTGTGACTTTGTGGGACCATTCAGTAGCATGTGGTAGGAACAAAGGGGATAGATAGTGGGACTAATCCAGGCTTCAGATTTAGCAATGTCTTAGTGGAGATAAGACAAGGAAATTAAGGGATTCAGTATAGAAGGTGGTGAAGAATTGAACTGGTTCAGCGAAGAGGTCGACTCTGTCGAGGGAGGAGAATGCAACCAGAAAAGGAGTAATGGCCTAGAAAATATCGAGAGGCAGAGGAGCAAGAGATCATCATGCGAATACAGAATAAATTTGGGAGTAGTAATACGTAAAGATGCAATGATTAAAAATTATGATTAAATAAAGGAATTTCAGAGTTCTTGAACATGGGAAGTGGAACACTTGTGGGTAGTGACAAGGTCAAGGGTGTGATTGCCTTGTGTGTAAGTAGCTGAAGTTGAGTGGAGGAGGAGGTCATGGGGTTGAGTAGACTGAGGAACTGAGAAGTCAGTGTATTGGAGGGAATATCAATATGTTTTTGAAATCTCATACTATGAGAACAGGAGTTGGACTGGAGAAGGAGACTGTGAACCAGGAGGCACTAAACTTACCAAGAAAGAAAGGAAAATGTCCTAGGAGTCGGTAGCTAATGGCTGCCAAGATCTGGATTAGGTGACAAATTGAGATAGAGTGAACCTCAAGGGAGAAACTTCTGAAAGAAGATGGTAGAATATTCTACCTCCATCAATGGGACCAGTGAGTTGAGGGGCATTAGAGGAGATCTGACTAATACAGAGAGGCTATCCCAGAATGCAATAATATAGATGGAACCAGTCTTTGTGATGCCCAAAACTGAGAGGAGCGTGAGAGGCATTGTGCTAAAGTCTTCACAAATGTTACCTCATTTGGGCCTCACAACATCCTGTGAGGGCGGTGTGATTATTCCCACTTTATGGTTGGGGTCACTGAGGCAGACAGAAGTTAAGTAATTTGCTCAGATCATACAGCCAATAAAATAGCTGAGTACAGATTTGAGTTCAGGGCTCCATGACTCCAGGCCCACTGCTGTAGCCACTGTGCCACCTAGTTGCCTCAATAGAAGAGGCAGAAAGAGCTGAAATGAGATCATGTGGATTAAGGTGGATGCAAATGAGGGAAAGGACAACTCTGGCTGGGGAGGAAGGCTTATTTTTCCAAAGATAAAGGTTTAATATCTCTGGGATGGGGAGAGTAAGAGTGGAAGAGAGTATACTATATAGGGGATAGGAGGGAAGGGTGGGAATTCATCTAAGCAAAATATCAGTGGTTGGGAGGAGGTCTACTGATGAAGGCAACTGTTTAGAACGTTCCAGATCCTCCCAGCCTATCTCTGCACAGAGACAGGAGGCAGTGTTATATACAAAGGCATCTAGAAGATGAAAGAAGAGAAAACATGACCTGGTGCTGACGGTGTTGTGTGAGGACACTGAAATACTTAAAGGGTCTATGATTTTCTTAGTGTAGAGAAACTCAGTGCGGAAACTCTCTCCACTCATACAAATCACATACCATCTATAACTCAATAGATAAAACCTAGGGAGTTGCTTGAGTTACCTGGTAAGTTGCCTAGAGTTGCCCTGTTTGACCTTTACTAGGTCAGAGGGAGTATTTGAACCCAGGAATTTTAGACTCCAAGCCTAGCCTTCCATCCACTAAAACCATGGTATCAAACTCAAATAGAAACAGAGCTGCTAAACAGTATATATGGATCTCTGTGAGCCACATGTTGATTTCGAAAACTACAAATTAACGTTATCTACAATTTATTGTATTTTAATTTATTTTGTTAGATATTTCCCAAGTAGATTTTAATCTGGTTCAGGCCACACTCTGGAGTGTTGCTGACCACATCTGACACCTCTGTACTATTTTATGCTGTCTCTACCATGTGGACACATCCAGGCCGAAGAACCGATGAGAAACACATTCCTCTGTTATAGTGTTACCTAAGGCTTTCAAACATAACTGCAATGTCCAAGACTCCTGCCTTGAAAGGAAGTTTTGTTTTGTGGCAGTTAAGCAACAGTTTAAAAAAACCCAACAATTTCCTATGTTCAGTCAGTCAAATCAAATCGCATTTTTTATTTTTTACTACCCAGTTTAGAAAGGGAGATCAATATTTCCTGTAAATAAATATGTCTATTTGCTAGATTGTGCAATGAACAATCATGATTAGAGAGAAATCAGAATACTCTTGCTTCTGTGTGTGTTTTAATTAATTTAATTAATTAATAAATTTTTGGTTTTCACCTTCACTTCCACAAGATTTTGAGCTCCAAATTTTCTCCCCATCTCTCCCCTCCCTCCACCCCAAGATGTTGTTTGGTCATTCTCATTATCCTTTCCCCCAATCTGCCCTCTCTTCTATCACACCCATCCTCTTCCCCTTCTATTTTCCTGTAGGGAAAAAAAAGATTTCTAACACTCCTGATTCTTGATCATACCTTTGTAGGCTCAGCTCTTTCTGTTTCTTTTCTTCTAGGTTTACTGGAACAAGGAGGGATCAACATGGAAAAGCCTCCCAAAGAAGTGAAAGTCTACCTCCTGACCACTTCAAAGGCTCCATATTGCTGTGAGTAGAACTTCCTCTCCTCCCAAATAAAATCAAACAACAATAAAAAAGAAAAAAAGGAAACCCGCCTCATCTCAGACTACTAATATTGAAAGCAGCCTTTATTATTAGTCTGTTGTTTTCAGTCATGTCCAACTCTTCGTGGCCCCATTTTGGGGGTTTTCTTGGCAAAGATACTAGAGTAGTTTGCCATTCCCTTTTCCAGCTCATTTTACAGATGAGAAAACTGAGGCAAACAGGATGAAGTCACTTTCCCAGGGTCACATGGCTTCTAAGTTTCTGAGGCGAGATTTGAACTTATGAAGATGAGTTTTCCTGACTGCTACACCACCTAGCTGCCCCCAGCAGTCTGTTATGGAGAAAATTTGTTGTCAACGTGTTTGATTTCAAGTCCTGCTCTGACCATTAGACAATGCCACATGAGGACTGACTCAGGAGTCATAGGACCTACATTCAAATTTCACTTCTGTTGCTTACTATTTCTGTGACTTTGGGCAAGTCACTCCCCTCTCTGAGCCTCAGTTTCCTCAAGATGACCCTTAAAGGTCTTTTTCAGATCTAAATCTATGATCCTATGTTCCAAATCAAGCCCATGGCTACACAGGCCTTCATGCTCTTCCTAGATATCTACTCCTTCCTGTACTGGGGGAGAATCAAGTTCCATGAGGGGCAACAGACCCTTTCTCTTCATTCTATCTTATGCCTAAGTGGGGAAATTAGGTAATGTGACTGAATAGTCAATGGGTAAACTCAGACATGGGGCAAATTAAAAATTTTTATAGATAAGACTTGAAAACCTGGCCTCAATGGGTATTACTTATTGGCCACTGGAGGCTTTAAGCCTTCACTCTACTTATCACAAAATAAATACCTGTAAGCCACAAGAAGTCAATTAATCAATGTTTATAGAGCACCTACTATGTGCTAGGCACTGTGCTGAGCACTAAGGATACAAAAAAAGATAAAAGAAAGTTCCCTGCTATCAAGTTTACAATCTCATGGGGGAATTAACAAGCAAAAAAAATATTTATGCAAAGTAAGCAATGCACAGGATAAATAGAAAATAATTAATAGAGGGAGGGCTCTAGAATTAGTACTGAATGTGGATTCAGAGGATCTGGCTTCAAATTCTACCTCTGATCCTTACAACCTGCGTATTCCTGGGCAAGCCACTTAATTTCCCTGGGTCCGGGTTCCCACAGCTGTAAAATGATGTGGTTGGAATAGATGTCATTAAGGTACCTTCCAGGTCTACATCTGTGTTCCTCTGACTATTCCAAAGTGTCCCTCACTGTAGCCTCCCTGGGTTTTGTGTCTTTCAGCAGCTGTACACTTTATCTATCCCTAGTCCTAGCTCTGGCAGCACCACCACCATTTTGGATGATATAAGTAGAAATTTCATGTTCCTAATCTCTCACCCTCACCCCCATCTCACTTTCCTCATTTCTCTGGTATGTTTTGCTTTCCTAGTGTATCACAGTCTCGTGGAGTTTCATTTACAGAAAGTGAGAAACAAGAACACCAACATTGAAATCACTTTGCATAGCAGTAATCTTACAACTTCCATTAAGATCACCATGTAAGTAATCTGTGTGCCTCCCTCCCACCTTGGGCACTTCCTTTCTTTTTCTTGATTGTCTATGTGTGTGGTCTCACCCTATGAGGATGTAAATTACTGGAGGTTAAGAACTGGCTCTTTGTATCCCCAATGCCTAGTATAGTCCCTGGCATATAGTAGGTATTTTTAAAAATGCTTTTTTCATTCATTCATTCATTCATTCATTCATTCATTCATTCATTCATTCATTTATCCTTCCAACTGAGGTTAGGAAAGGGACTAGGAGACATCAGTGCACTTTCTTTGCTAAACAACAGAATAGGCAGCAATAGTCCAAGCTTTCCTGACACAACATGACACCCTTCCACTCTCAAGAAGCTCCCTGCTTTAGATTGTAGACTTCGAAGTGTTAGGGAGCTCTGAGGTCATTTGGTCAAACCTCTACATTTTATAGATGAGAAAATGGAATCACTGAGGGGCCAAGTGCTTTGCCCAAGGCCATGCAGGGAGAAAACATCAGAGCCAGGACTATAGTCCCAAACATCTGTGTGCCTGACTGTGGTTATCGTAACAGGTCACATTCAAATAGTGAAGTGAGCTTTATAGTGTCTTTTCCCTTATAACAACCTTTGGGGTACAATGAAGAGTACTGGATTTAGAGTGCAAGGACCTGCATTTGAATCTCACCTCTCCTATTTACTGTCTTTGAGACCTTGGGTAAGCCACTGACTTTTTTTAGGCCTCACTTTCCTCCTCAGTGCAATGAATGAGTTGACTACTTTCAATTAACAAGCACTTATTAAGTGCTTACAGCATGCCAGGCATCATATTAGACACTGGGGATACAAAGACAAAAGTGAAAATAGTTTCTGCCTTTGAAGAGCTTTCAATCTAGCTGGGGAGACAATATATACAAGCAAAAGTATATGTAAAATAATTTGTGGGGAAGCTTGAACAGCTGGAGGGGCATCAGGAAATGTTTCATTTATTGTAGACCAGAGATGTTGAACACACAGGTCATAATACACCTTGTGGAACTAATTGGGAAATATTTATTTATCTATTTATTTATTTATTTATTTTGGTGAGGCATTTGAGGTTAAGTGACTTGCCCAGGGTCACATGGCTAGTAAGTGTCAAGTATTTGGTCTGAGGCCAAATTTGAACTCAGGTCCTCCTGACTCCAGGGCCAGTGCTCTATTCACTGTGCCACCTAGCTGTCCCCTCTATTTTCTTAATAAAGGATGAAGCAAGGTCCTCAGTTATTAGGGTCAGGGGAATAGATGCTTCTAGTAGATACCTTTCCAGGGCAGCTAGATGATGCAGTGGATACAGCACTAGCCCTGGAGTCAGGAAAGACTCATCTTTCTGAGTTCAAATTTGGCCTCAGACATTTACTAGCTGGGCAAATCACTGAACCTTGTTTGCCTCAGTTCCTCATCTGTGAAATGAGCTGGAGAAGGCAATGCAAACCACTCCAGAATCTTTGCCAAGAAAATCCCAAGTAGGATCACAAAGAATTAGACATGCCTGAAATGACTTAACAATAACAAGGAATAAGTTACCCAAGTAATAAAGTTACTAGCTGACTCAGTTTTCTTCTTCTTTAATGCTATTAGCATTGAACTACTTCTTTGGGACTGTAGACTTAGAGCTGGGAAGGGACCTTAGAGATCATTTCATCTCTCAGATTTTAGATGAAGAAACTGAGGCCCAGAAAGGTTAAGTGATTTATTTAGACTCCCAAAGTGATCAATACTGCCCCCTGAAGGGTGCTGGTACAATACAGGGGGGCAGTAGTAGCCTCAGGTGCAATTGGAGGGTATTGAATAAAATTAAGGGGATGGTGGAAGCATTAGGAAAGGAGAGACAATAAGGAAATTTTGAAAAACCGTTCCTACATGTTTCATCTGTTGTGTAACAGAATTAAAGTCATAGTGATCACATCGTTTTCCCGATAAACATGCAAAATGCAAGTTATAACTCATCAGAGGTCAAGTCCACCAACAAGTCTTAACAAGCAAGTGTTGGCAGGCTGTGCATTGCTGAGAAGTCCAGCATGCATCGGCAGGAATATGTGCATGTAATGACTTGTTTACAATATGATACCATATGGTTACATGATGCAATATTGTGTCATGAAACTTTTAACTCAGGAAAAACCCCACAAATTTACAATGAATTATTAAAGATGCATCATTTTTTTAAAAAATTTTATATTTTTTGAAATGACGCAAATAAAAAAAGAGTTACAGGGTTAAAGAAAGTAGATTTCCATGGGGGTGCTGAGTAAAATTTTTGGAAAGGGGTCAGTAGGCCAAATAAGTTTGGGAACCTTTGGTTTAGGGTCACACAACTAGTAAGGATTTGAGGCATGATCTGAACCCAGGTTCTCAAACTCCAAACTCTTTCTTCTTTTGTAAGATCTAAAATTTTACAACCTGAATTAACATCTTTTTGCAATGGATCTAATCTTTTTTTTCTTCGAATGTTTTAAAGACATTTTAGCATAAAAATAATTTTTAAATGGTTAGAATCCAATTCTGTCTCTATATCTTTCCACTGGCTGTGTCCTGGTACCTGGAACATACTCTCTCCTCACCTCTTCACTATTACACTCTAAGTTTCTTGAGAGCAGGGACCATATATTTGCCTTTCTTGGTGTACCCAGTAATTGGAACAGTTCCTGGCACATAGTAAAGGTTTAATAAATGCTTGTTGATTGTTGACTGACTCCACCTCTTAGAATCCTTGGTGTCCTTTAAGAACCCCTCAAGCACCATCTTCTAAATGAAGTTGCTCCCCTTGGCTACTAATGCCTCCCACCAAATCACCTTGAATCTGTTTTGTATGTGTATCTATATGAGTCTATATATCTATAGATCTACATAAGCTCCTCTGATACAGCATAAATAAACTCTTTGAGGGTGGAGACTGTTTCACATCTGTCTTGTATCCCCAGGGCCAAGTACAATGCCTGGCACATGGTAGATGCTTTACAATGCTTTTTGATTGATTGGCAGATACAGAGTCTGAGAGAGGATCTAGTTCAGCTCTTCATTTTATTATGGTTTATTATTTATTATTGTTATCATTATTATTATTAATAGTCTCATATTGCATTGAAAATTCTTTTTTTTAGTTCTTTATTCTCTCCTCCCCTTTCCCTTTCTCTACCCATTAAGAAGGCAAACTCATTACAAATATGTATTGTCATGCAATATAAATTCCCACTTCAGACATGTCCAAAAAAAAGGAAAGAAAAGAAAGAGAAGAAAATAGGCTTCAGTTGCAGTCTGAGTACACCAGCTTTCTATCCAGAGATGGACAGCATGTTTCATCATGAATCCTTGGAATTATGATGGGTCATTATATTGATCAGAGTTCCTAAGTCTTTCAAAGTTGATTGTCTCTATAATATTACTGTTACTATGCAGATTGTTCTCCTGGTTTTCCCAACTTCACTTTGTACCAGTTTAGACAAGTCTTCCCAGGTTTTTCTGAAACTATCCCTTTCATCATTTCTTATAGCACAATAACATTTCAGCAAATAGTATTCCATTATATTTGTAGGCCATAACTTGTTTAGCCATTCCCCAGCTGATCGATATTCCTTGAGTTTCCTATTCTTTGCCACCACAAAAATTGCTGCTATAAAGTTTTGTATATATGCATTGTTTTCCTCTTTCTTTGGTCTCTTTGGATATAGACCTAATAGTGGTATTGCAGGGCCAAAGGGTATGTGCACAGCTTAATGGCTTTTGGGTGTACTCCCAATTGCTTTCCAGAATGGCTAAACTAAGTCATAGCTTCACCAATTGTGCATTTGTATACCTGTTTCTCACAGCCCCTCTAATATTTATCATTTTCCTTTTTTGTCACCTTGGGCAATCTGATGGGTATAAAGTAAAGCCTCAGAGTTGTTCTAACTTGCCTTTACCTGATTATTAGTAATTTAGAGCATTTTTTTATGTGCCTATTGATAGCTTTGATTTCTTTCTCAAAAAACCGCCTATTCATATCCTTTGATCATTTATCAATTGGAGAATGGCCTATTTTTGTAAATTTGACTCAGTTTCTCACCAAGTCAGATTTCCTTAAAAATGATACCCCTATCAGAGAAACTTTGCTTCAAATACTGCCCCCCCAACTGTCTGCTTTTCTTCTAATTTTAGCTGCATTGGTTTCATTTATGCAAAAACTTTTTAATATTATCAAAATTATCCATTTTACCTCTGGTTAACCTCACAATCTCTTTGGTCATGAACTTTTCCCCTATTCATAAACAGGGAAAAACAGGTAATTTCTTCCATGTTCCACTAATTTGCTCATAATGTTATCCTTATGCCTAAATCATTCACCCAATTTAAGCCTGTGTATTTGGCATGAGATTTGATCTATACTTAGTTTTCAGCTCTTCATTTTATAAAATAGAAACCCTTCCTGCGGAGGGCACACACTGGCTGTGTGACCCTAGGTAAGCCAGTTAATTTCTCAGTGACTAAGACAGCTCTAGAAGACTTGAAATTGCAGAAAAGGTGCTGACCTGCACTGCTAGAGGGAGTTTCTTCCCTATTCCATGAAATCAGAGATCAGGTTCCTATATGGAGTTTCATATCTCTTTCAATCTCCCTGTCTCTGAGCTCCCTGCTTCTGATATGGTAGCTGACAGTCCCTCTTTCTGTCATACTACCCTGCAGAGCTTGGGCAATATTTACGCAGATCTGGGCTTCAAGGCAAGGAGGGTGGGAAAATGGAGTCCCAGCTCTATAAGGACAAAATATAGAAAGAGGGCATCTAGTCCTCTGCTCAAACTTTCCCCTTAGTTTGAAAGATCATGCATATACATCCTTATCCCTCAAAACCTAAGGGGAGCAAAACCCTTGGAAACTTTGCTTTTTAACAGACTTAGTACATGCAAATGCTGCCACTTAAGGTCTGAAAAGGCCTGAAAAATTTACAGTCTTCATAGCCAAAAAACCTTACCAAGCCAAACCAAAATTAAGACTCATTCTAAACTCCTAAGAGAGAATAATCCTCCTACAAAATTTGTTGAACTAAGAATTTAAAATAAACTTTCCATTTCTAGGTAACTGAACCTGGAAGTGAAGCTCTCTTCTTATTTTTGCCTCTTATTAGGAACCCAACCGGGAGTTTTTCCCCAAGTAATGAAAATGTCAAGAATTAGGAGAGCTCCTTTTTGCTAAAGTTTTCTCTTCCTCCTTCTTTTCCTCCTCACTCTCTCTACCTCTTTTCTTTCCCACCCTCTCTTTCATTCTCTCCCAAACCTAGTCTCCCCTTTCTCTTCCTTTCTCTCCCCTTTTCTCCCCTCTCTCCTTTCTCTCAACATAGTATCAAATTTTTATTGAGTACCTACTGTATCCAAAGGACTTTGCTATCTCAGTGGCAAATCTGAAGAAGCATAAGATGTAATCTCTGCTTTCCAGGACTTCATGTCGTAGTACCAAAGCAAGCATCCATAGCATTTCAGAACTGGAAGAGAACCTCAAAGTCCACGTAGCCTAAAGATATCAAACTTAATGGGTCCCAGTGCTTTCAACGTCCCTCAACTCCCCAGCCTCTCCTTCGTACTTTTATTCTGAGGTAGTGTTATGTAGTTCATAGAACCCTGGACTTGAAGTCAGGAGAGTGGGTTCTAGTCTCTTCAACATGGGACTTCAGCAAGTCACTGAGCTTCCTGATATGATATATATGTATATATGTATATGTATATGTGTACATGTGTGTACACATATACACACATATATACATACCTATACATGCATGCATACATGCATGCACACATACATATACACATACACCTTTGCATGCCCCACCCATTGGGTTATGATGAGGTTCAAATGAGCTAAGATGTGGAGAGCACATTGTAAAGTTTAAGGCCTATATTAGTTTGAGCTATTAATATTTATTTAATTCAGACAGATATCAGAATCAGATGAAAACATCTTTAGAGACAGAAACAAATTGTTAATATAGAATCATGTAATAAACTTAAAGAGCGAATTTGAGGCTAACCCTTACCTGCTGCATGAATTCTTCTACTGAACATCCCAGATGAGAGGTCATCCAGTGACTTACCGGGCAGACAAGGGAGAAGAGAACTATTCAGAAATACATGTAATGTAAAAGCAAAAGGCATCAACAAAAAAGAGAAATCATCCATCCTTAGCTTGAACAACTCCCTTGATGGGGAACTATCTAGCTGAAGAGCTAAGACATACATGTTAAATGAAGGGTTAATTAAAAGTAGCAGGTAATATCTGACAAGTCTTCCATTATAGGTTTGCTACGATGACTCATTATGTGGTACAGGTGATCTCAAGTTCTCAAAGGAAATACCTAAGAAATCCAAGCTCCAGCAGGTTCTACCACATTGAAAAGGTTTTGAGTTACCTATCAATTTTAAGTCATTAAACATTTGTTGTTTAATCAGTTCTGACTCCTTGTGATCCCTTTTGGGGTTTTCTCGGTAGAGCTACTGGAGTGGTTTGTCATTTCCTTCTTCAGCTTATTTTACAGATGAGGAAACTGAGGCACCTAGGGTTAAGTGACTTGCCCAGGGTCACACAGCTAGTAAGTGTCTGAGGCTAGATTTGAACTCAAGAAGATGAGTCATCCTGACTCCAGGCCCAGCACTCTATCCACTGCAACATTTAGCTGCCCTCATTAAACATTTACTTAGTTCCTGCTATGTGCTAGGCACTGTTCTAAGCACTGGGGATACAAGGAAGGTAAAGGTAAAGATAGTCCCTGACCTAAAGGAGCTCATGGTCTAATGGGAGATACAGCATGCAAACAACTGTGTACAAACAAACTATATACAAGACCAATTGGAGAGCAGGAACTAGCATTAAAGGGGATTGGAAAAGGCTTCTTGTAGAAGATGGATTTTAACTGGGACTAAAGGAATCCAGGAAAGCCAAGAGGTGGGGATGAGGAGAAAGAACATTCTAGGCATGGGATACACCCATGAAAATACCCTGCGTCAGGAGATGAAAAATCTCAGTGTCTTATTTGAGGAGCAGTAAGGAGGCATCACTGGATCTTAGATTTCAAGCTGGGTTTGTAAGATGTAAGAAGACTGGCAAGGTAGGGGAGGAAGACAAGTAATGAAGGGCTTCGAATGCCAGACAGAGGGCTTTATATTTGATCCTGGAAATAATAGGGGGCCATGGGGTTTAATGAATAGAGAGATGACATGATCAGACCTACACTTTCAGAAGATCACCTTGGCATCTGAGTGGAGGATGGACTGGAGTGGGGAAGGACTTATGGCCAGCAGACCCACCAGCAGGCTTTTTGCTTTAGTAGAGGCATAAAGTGATGAGGGTCTATGTATCTGTTAGTTGAGGTGATATCAGTCTAGCTAAATTTAAAGAGGTTCAATACTAGAAAGGTGACCACAGGTGATTAATTTATTTTGGGGGCATAGCATTTAATGAAGATAATCTCCTAAAAGAGTGGTGTGTAAATTTCTTTAATTATGTACTCCTAAAAATGTAAAAAAATGTTGTGTGTGCAATCCTAATATATGCATATTTATTTCTTTATAAATTATATATATGTGCTATTGTACCAACAATTGGCACATTATACAACTTACATAAAAAATGAGATAAAGATGTAATAAAATTTGAACCTAGGGTCAATAGGGAAGCCACTAGAATTTATTGAGGGGGAAGGTGACGTGGTCTGATCTGCACTTTTGGGAAATCACTTGAACATCTGCTTGAGGATGAATTTGAGAAGAAAGCTAATTGAGGTGAGAGTAATGGGTGATGAGAGTTCCAGTTAGGGGGTGGCTGCGTGAGTGGAGAGAAAGAGACAGATGTGGGAGATGTTGTGAAGGTACAAAGATTTCACAGCTGATTGGATCTGGGGGATGAAGGAAAATGAGGAGATAATGTGATTGTGAGCCTGGGTGACTTGGGAGGATGGTGGTGCTCTCAATAGAAATAGGGAAGTTTGGAAGAGGAGTGATTTGGGGGCAGGCCGAATAATAAAATGACATCACAGTGCATCCCTTCTTGCTCAATCTATGTGCCTCACTCTGTCCCAATCAAAACGGAAAGCGAGAGGTGGAGATCTTACTAGTTGGACCCTGTGGTTCACCAGCTGTCTGAGGGGTACCTTTAACAGTCATAAAGTGAGATGGGGTAGGAGGTGGGCATGGGGGTGTGGGGTTTCTTAAGAAAGCCTTCTGCTGTGCATGCCTGGGTGGTGGTTAGTAATGACCAAAAGGGCAGAATAATACAGTGGAAAGGCTTTTGGAAGTTAGAGGACATGACTTCCAATCTGACTTCTGCCCTTTATTACCCCTGGAACTGTGGGCATGTCATTGTTCAAATTTCTCTGGGCCTCAGTTTTCTCATATATAACATGAGGGGAATGTACTAGATGGCCTCTGAGGTCATTTCCAGATCTAAATCTATGATCCAATTTCCTCTTCCCTGCTTGTTGATCTTTCCCCACCTTACCCCAACCCCCCAAGGAAGAGGTTGGGAGATTGAACTACAGAGGGAAGGGGTAGAGTGTGGGTGTTGGGGATAGGTGTAGTTTTGTTGTAGATAAACCCCAGTAATAGTTATTGTGAGGAGGGTGGGAGGTGACCCATCTTTCCACCCTCTGATTGGTTGATCACATACCCCTCAGGGTCAAGCCACAGACAAGTCTCCTACTTTGGAGACCATTGTTCTGAGGATTAGAGGGGTTTCTCTCAGCACTCATGGAGGGATCATTCCTAGCAATGAAATGAAAGATCCTTGGAATATAATATGGAAGTATATAAGTGCCAGACAAGTAGCCTGGACAATAGGTTCTCCAGGATTTCACTCTTGTGTCTCCTTACAGATTGAAAAACCAGTTCATTGGCAAAGGATTGATAGCCCACTCAATCCCACATTGCCACATAAATCAAGTGATCCTGAAGGTTCTTTCCTCCAACCATGTTTGGAAGAAAGACAAGAGCTCCATCACTGGGAGATTCTGCGCCATCCCTTTGCCTGCTAACCAGAGGTAAACAGACCCTTTCAGTGACCATTGACAAACACAGACATCTATCCTTTCCACCTGACTATATATAGTGTTCCTAATATCAAAATCTCTCCAAAACAAACCAGGGCCAGTAAATGGTCTTGCTCTGGCCAAAAACTATTTTAGTCTTGGCTAGCTGGGTCTCCTGAGATGTCATCTTGAACACTTAGGGCTTCTGGGTGATGAGAACAACATGAAATTTGATATGACAAGATACCATTCAGTTACCACTTTCCCATATGGAAATATACCAGTATGAGTAAGTGGTGAGCAAGACTTTCTTGCTAGGTACCAGGTACTTCTAGCCTGCCACTGAAAGCTGGAAGTATTCCTCTGAGTAAGCCTTTTAGTTGTTCCCCTTTATCTTCTATTTATATTTTTCTAACGTACTAGTTTATCTGTCTGTTACACACTACGTCAGAAAAAATTGCCAAGCTGGCATTTCAGTAGCATGGAGGCTGCTTCTGGATTAATGATTGCCAATGAGAATGGAGGAAAGGGAAAAAAGAAAGAAGAAACTAACTTGCAGTGGGAAGCAGCTTACTGTCCATCAAACAAATATTCTAGTGCTACTGAAAAAAAAGAATAACCTATAAGACGCTATGGAATAGCACTGAATCTGGATAAATAGGCTAAAGACATGTTTGTTCCTGTCCAAGAGGCAGAAGACTTGCTAAGGTTCCAGTGGCCCAGTGAGTGATGCTAGGAAGCTTATCACCTTCACAGGAGGGTGACTTCAGCCACCTTAATCTTCCGTGTTGTCCGTCCCTTCCAAAAATAAGATTAATTGAAGGCAGACCAGCAAAATGGGCAGGTGTGGCTGAAAATTCCATGGAACATGGAACAGAACATGTACAGGAGAATCAGCATGGAAGAGTGGATGGATTGCTAAATAAGAGTCAGAGAAAGTCTTGGTTCAAACCTTGCCTCAGATTGGTTCTCTTGGGGAAGTTAAGGTCTTAGCCTCAGTTCTCTTATCTGTAAAATGGGAATTAAAAATAGCACCATCCTCCCTGGGTTGTTGTGAGGCTCAAATGACATGATACATAGTGCTTCACAAGCTTTAAAGTGCTAGCTAGATAAGTATGAACTATTATGATTATTATTGACTTGGCAACTAGAACCTCACTCTGAGGGGCTCACTCCTAGGTGATTTACTTCCCCTGGTCTCAGAGTTGGCCAGAAGCCTTTGCTGAAAAGAGAAACTCTGTTCTTTATAGCATCATGCCAGATGCTTTGGTTTAATAGTATCTAAAGCTAAAAGCATAAGAGGAAATGGAAACTTTGGAAAGTGAAATGACTTTTCCAAGGTCACACAGATAGTAAGTGACAGAGTTGGGATTAGGTTTTCAAATTCACATTCAGATTGAGTCATCTGCTCTCCCCAGATTTCCCTAGTGGTTGTTTTTCAGTGGTATGAATAAAAACAATAACAATAATAACACAGTTAGAATGGTACTTTAAAGTATGCAAATCACTTTGCATACTTTATCTCATCTGAGCTTCCAAATTTTACCTGTGAGGTAAAGACACAGATTGAGAGCTGGAAGGGACCTCGGAGAGGCTAGTGAGTGCGACCATTCCCTTTTTCAGATGAGAAGGTTGAGGATTAGAGAGATTAAGTGATTTACACATAGTTACCCCTGGGAAACATCAGTAGGAGAATTTGAACTCTGGTCTCTTTCATTCCCAGTCCATCACTCTATCCACCATGCCCCACTGTTGTAAGGACTCCATAGCTTATATGTTAGAGTACTGATCTTGTAACCTCTTTTTAACTCTGAGATTATGAGTTTGAATCTCGCAGTTGCATTAAAACAGGTTCAGCACAACCCAACACACCTCTAATCTTGTTTAGTTTACTACCCCCCATTTTGCTCAGTTGATCGCCTAAGACATGATGGCCACTCCTAACCTCTTGCTGTTCTTCCCTTATAGTACGAAGATGTGGTGCTCTTCTGAACTAATGACCTTGCAAACAAATGTAAATTCTTTTGCAAAGCTGGAAATACCATGTGCATAATATAATCCCTGGAGATCTTTGGAGGACAGCAAGTGGTTTCATTCAGGCTGCTCTTATCAGACTAAGGATAATATCTCTGTCATTATCTACTAAGTAGCACAAAACTACTCGTCATTATTTTTATCGAAACATTTTGTTTAGCTATATGGGTCAATTCATTCCCAATAAACAATAAAGGTCTTCCTGCCCTCCACTTTTCTATTAAAAAGCTGTGATTAGGACAGCTATTGTGGTTGATAGCACACATAATTTTCCACTTTTATAGTTTCTTCCTTTTTTTTTTCCTTTTTTCCCCTCCTCCTTCTTAATTGAAAGGAAATATGTCATCTGGGAGCAATACTGACCATTGCTATTGACACAAATTTCTTTGCCTTTTAGATTGTCTTTATTTGCATTATTAAAATCATTACACATAGTGTTCTGGTTTTGCTTTCCTCACTCTGTATCAGTCTGTCTTTCCATGTTTCTCTAATTTCTTCATGTTCATCATTACTTGCTGTCTAATAATATTCTACAGTAATTCCCATTCCCAGCCATTCCCAAGTCATTGGACACAATTTATTCCAGCTTTTAACTATTATAAATAGTGCTGCTATGAATATTTTGATACCTTGGGGATCATTCTTTCTGTCACTGATGTCCTTGGGGGTATAAACCACAGTAATGAGATCACAGTGCCTGACACATAGTAAGTGCTTAATGAATGTTTGTTGACTGACTGGATCAAAAGGTAGGAACAGTTTAGAAACTTGTGTAATTCTAAATTTTTATTTTCAGAATAGTTGGACCAATTCACTGTTCAGTCAGTAGTAAATGAGTGTATCTGTCTTCCAACATTGTCCTTTTCTTATTAATATTATAAGCAGAAATGACCCCATATATTTGGGCTTTCTACCTAGAACTGTACCTGTTATTCAGCAGAAACATTTATAGGGGAAAATCCATAAATTCCACAGAATAGTCAGATTGGTTTTTTTTTAATGAAATTGTGTTACCGTTGATATACTGAGAAAAAAAATCACATTTGAAATCTGCAGGACTTAGAGGAAAGGAAGGTGAAGTGAATCTTCCCTAGGGTAAAGTACAAGGGAGAGGAGGTGTTCTGAAGTAATAGGTGAAAGACATAATTCAAACACGCAGTATTCCACCTCTCGGTGACCTATTTCCTCCTTTGAGTTCCAACTGATTTTTTTTTTGAGGGGGTGGGGTCTTTTATTTTGGTGTCTGCTTTGAGAAATTAGCTTGAATGTTTAAGGGGACAGATATGAAGGGAGTTGATGGGTAAATTATTTGGTGGCACATCCAGAGTGAAGCGTAGCTAGTGTCTCCCAATTTACGATGCAAACAGCAAGTAATCAAGGGTTTTCATTATAATTAATGACATGGACAAGGACCAGAGAGCACTGTATAGAATTCAACAGTGATAGCATTAAGAAAACACTTTCTCTTAGATGACCATTACAACATGAAAAATGGCTCAGAATCACAGATTGCAAGAGTTAGAAAGGAATCTTAGAATTTATATACTTGATCATCCCACTTAGTGCAGGCATAGGGCCTCAGTTTCTATGTCTGTGAAATAAGGAAGTTGTGCTGATTGGTTTAAGGAGGAGATTACTAGAATTAAACCCCCATCTATTTATGCAAAAGTATTCTCACTGGGATTATTCTTTAGAGTAAAACAACTGGACACAAACTATGAACCCAGCGACAGAGGAATGGCTGAATAAATTGTGGTGGTTTATGAAGGTAATAGAATATTATTACTCTACAAGAAAGGACAAATATGAAGATTTCAAAGACATATGAAGTGATGCATAATGACAAAAACAGAACCAAAAGCATGATTACAACCATATAAATGAAAACAGTAAATTCATATTAAAGATAAAGGATGACTTTGTTACTACCATATAAAAGTTCCCATGCACATCTTCTGTTTAACAATTAGGTCAAGTCAACAAGTACTTATTATGTGCCAGGCACTATACTAACCACTGGGGATACAAACACACAAGCAGAAAGAAAGATAATGCTTGCCCTTAAGGACCTTACACTCTGACAAGGGAAGACAACACATAAAAGGGAGCTGAAATCAGTAAATAATAGAAGTGTATGGTTACATGTACAATCATTTGCAATTCCATTCATTTGTTTTTATTTTTGCATTTTATTTCTTTTGTTATTGTTTATATATTTAAATATGCTTGTCAATGAAAGTTAAAATGTATTAATAAAAAATAAAGAAAAGTGAGCATATTGGACTAAATGACACTGTTTCCTTCTACCTCTAAGATCCTAAGATCTGGCCTTTGCTTTTGAATATTTTCAGGAGCTGTGAACTCACTGCCTCCTAAGAGCACCCATTCCGGTTTTCAATAATTCTCTTGTTAGAAAATTCTTTCTTCTGTCAAGTTGAAATTTGCTCCCCTGTACCTTCCTCTCAGGGTCTTAGTTCTGCCTTCTAGAGCTACATACGATAAGTCTACTTGCTTTTACATGTCATTCTTTCAAACAGTTGAAGATAGATCTCATATTCTTTCTATGTCTTCTTTTCTCAATAATAAAAAACCCCAGTTCCTTCTACTGTTCTTCATATGTTCTCCTCCAGATACACTTTAATTTGCTATTATCCCTTTCAGAATGTTTTATCTAGAACTTAAATAATATTTGAATATATATATATAATATTGCATATATAATCTGACCAATTGGATGCTAATTTCTATTAATGAAACCTAAGATGGCATTGTTTCATTGTTGCAGCCATATTATGCCACTGAGTCTTAGTGGCTCGCAAGACTTAGAGCTAGACATCATCTAGTTAAAATTGTTCCTTTTACAAATATGGAAACAGGAGCCCAGAGAAATAAAATGGCATATTCCAGGTTACACAAGTAGTAAGTGGAAGAGCCAGAATTTGAAACCTCCCTGGTTCCGTGAGCTCCTGATTAGGGCTTGACTGAGACCCACCGTACTGTTGGCCTCCAACTATCTTCATGCCATACCACTAGCCCATACTATTTCTCAGCCCTCCACTCCTTTCCATCTCTTGCTGTTCTTGGAAAGGACATGTTACTGAATTGCCCTATGGATCTACTCACCATCCCTCTTATTTCCCATTCCAAAACACCCCTCCCTGGTCAACTCTCTCTTATATGTAGCATCTTTCCTTATTAGAATGCAAGCTCCTTGAGAGCAGATTATCTTTTTATATGTGTGCCCCCAGCCTTTAGCAGGTGTCAGCTATATAGTAAGTGCTAAATTAATATATTTTTAACATTCACTCATTCTTCAATTAATCAATCAAAGGGTAGTAGTTGGAGAGTAAGTCTGGCTTCAAACTGAGTGACATTTTGTCTCTCATCTATTCATCTTGAAAATGTCCTGGTGTTGACCACACTTTTTGTAAAGGCACTATCAGTCAGGTAGGGGTGGGGTGAGAGGAGGCTTTTGCAATATAGCTGCAAATACAGAGTTCACTGGGAGAGAGATCCAATGGATATTCAGAAATAAACTTTCTTTCTACTTTCCTTCCTTCCTTCTCTTTTTCTCTCTTTGTCTCTCTCTCTTTCTTTCTGTCTTTCTTTTTCTCAGCATACTGTTGAAAAGTGTTGCTGTTTGCAGTCCTACAGCACCTCAGTGTTAGGTAGATTGTGAAAGCAACTTTAGCTTCGGAGGAAGGTCATGGATCTGGAGCTGGAAGAGACTTCAGAGGACATCTATCTCAACCCCCCTCATTTATAGATAAGGAAACTAATAAATTGGAAAGTGATTTGCACAGGGGCACAGAATACCTAAGTGTTAGTGGCTGGATTTGAACCTAGCTCCTTTGCCTCTAGAATCACTTTCTACTAAAACACTCTGCCTACCTGTCCACTTTAGGATCAAGGACACATAGCAGCACATTAGCTGAAATACATAAAACACTTTCTGAGCTGTTCCTATCTCACATTAAGACAGTCTGATCCAGAAATGAAATGCATTTCAGGGTCCTGTTTTCCCAGGGACCTTGTAATACAAGTCTCTGTTTGGCTTTTAAAGACATTCTTAACCTGTTCCCTTCCTACCTTTCTAGTCTTCTTTCACTTTATCCCCCTCCACATAATCTATGATCCAGCAGCCTTGGCTTTCTTCTCCTTCCTCACATGTGACATCCCATCTCCTGACCACGTGTCTTTTCACTGACTGCTGCCATACCTGGCTCCTTCCTTATTCCTTCTGGCTCCTCTTGCTTCCTTCAAGACTCAGCTCCAAATCCTACTCTCTACAGAAGGACTTTCCCACCTCCTCCCATCACATCCCTCATACCTTACCTTTGAAATGGCCTTCCACTGTACAGAACTCACATTTATAGTTTTTCCATGTTGCCTCCCCCATTAGAATATAAATTCCTTGAAGGCAGGGACTATTTCTGCCTTTCTTTGTATCCTCAGCACTCACCACAATGCCTGGCACATAGTAGGTACTTTATAAATTTTTTTTTGGCTGATTGATTGACAAATGAGGTGGCACTAAAAAATATCAGCTACAGAATCTGGGTCATCCATGTTGCAGCTCAAGATTCTATGGAATTGATTTGAGGCCTTGCTCTGTGATATAAAGGTATGGTAAAAGCAACATCTATTTACCAGACGTGTAGATTAGTCCAGTATTTTCCCCAAAAGGAAAAGTAGCTGTCCCCAAGGCTTACTTGGTCCAAAGGGTTAAGGCCTGAGCTGTTGACCCTTTACTGTTGACCAGATACATTACCCTGTGTAGATGAGGAGTATGGCATCTACCTAAACCAATGCTATATCCTTGCTTGAGTACCCTTCCCATGCTATGGCTCAGTAAACTTTTTGATAACTGTTAGATGATCTACAAGCACCTCATTGCATTCTAGTATTGAAATTCAAACCTGAGTCAGGCCTGACATCCAGATTTTTTTGTTTTTCATTATTTTATCCAGTTGCCTCTTACTAAGCCATACCAAGGTCAAGAAGGTAACTTTGCTCTTTGAAGAAGAATGTGTCTGTGAATAATGCAAGTTTAAGGGCAAGCAAACTGTGATTGTAAAGGATTCCAAGGGGTTCTTTCTGAAAACACTCAAAATCCCAGGGGGCTTTCAAGAGGAGAGCCCCGCTTGGTTTTCAGGAGAAAGGTAGTCAAGACACTGCAATCTTTTCTGAACCCATCCCTTTTTAGAACCAGACAAACAGAGGAATTTTTCAAAAGAGCTACTGAAACAGAAAATCTCCTGACAGATCAGATAGGGAGGGCAGGGGTTAGCAAAGCAACCCTCACCTAGTTTGTTGGGAGAAAAAGCGTATCTACCAAAAGAGGCCTGAGTGAAAATAGGATGGGGGAACAAAGGGAGAAAACATATATGTGTTTTCAGTCTTTCACTATCTCCAAGCTGAGGAAAGCTCTTTTCTTCTCACAGACACATCTCATGA